AAAAAATATATTATATTAAATAAAATACCAAAAAAAATATCAATAATAAAATGTATAAATATCATAAAGCAAATAATTCGAAATAAATAATTTATTATTATTTTAGTTCATATTAAATTACGTATAATTATATTAATTTCCAAATCGAATTTTTCAAAATGTTAAAAAATTATAATTTATAAATATTTAAATAAAAAGAAAATAATTTAATTTAATAAATATGTAAAAACAACAATATAACGAATTTATATCTAACCAATATCAAAAAAATATCTATATATTTCAAATTTAAAATATCTAAGCTAGGAATATATTCGTATAAACTAAATTTGTATTCGTAAAATATTCCAAAATTACAATATTTTTTAAACAAATTAATTTCGAAAAATTATATATATATTTTAAATTTAGAGAAATATGTCCAAAAGAAATGAAGGTAAATATGGGATATCGATGATGGTGATCGTAAATATTGTAATATATTTGATTCGAGGTCGTTCAATTGATGAGACGAGTCTTTGGTTTTTGAATGTTTTTGAAATTAGGTCTTTCGGTTGAAAGGGTCCCGGCGTGTCGAGTGAAGCCGGTTTGTGGTTCGTTGAAATCACTAAACCATCCCTTTGTAAGATGTTGTATCATGCTACCAGGGTAAAATTGAAACCATATTCCACTCGATATCTGCAGACTGGAAAATGCTGTGCTGAAACGCCGTGGGCGTGGCCACTTCTGCCGCCCCTGCGCGTCTGCCCCGCTGCTCTCTGTGCAGTGCAGTGACTGGAAAGCACGGCGCGCAAGAAAGGTGGCAAGGAGTGCTGCATGGAGGTGGGATTTCCAGCGGACTGGGATTTTGCCTGTTTGAATGGTAGCAATTTAAGCAAGATCAAGATAAATCACCATTTTTCACTAGGTTCTGGTAAACGTTTACATAACCATGGAAAATCTCCATGTTTAATGGGTAAATCATGGTAAATCAACTATAACTGGACAATTTTCACTAGGTAAATGCTCATGTTTCTGATCTATGTCTATGTCGGCCAGCCTCACTTCATTTGTCCGTGAGATGGCGAAGTTGAAAAAAATGTCATGTCTGCCACAAAAAAAAACTACCCTCTGGTAATGACTAACAGTTCGCTATTGAAAATGGCCCATAGAAATAGTTGATTTACCTATTCAGGATGGTGATTTTCCATAGCGAACTCTTAGTTTACCATAGGGTATATATATAATTATATATATATATTTATGTACATTCATACTGTTGTTCATCAATGTGGCTGTTAATGGCTCACCATCAATGTGACTGGTTTTCCAGACTGCAGTCGTTTCATTCAGACATAGTCAGACCCGTCAGAAAAAGACATCATTGAGTAAATTATAATAATATTTCACTAACCTGAATCTTGCGGCCATTTGGGGATGATTTCCCTTATAAACCATGATTCCAGGGTTCGGTCGCAGTGAGGTCGTGATGAAATTTACCCATATCAATCATCTCAGGAGATGAATCCTCCAATGATGTGCAAATTTTTCAACCAACCAGAGCTTTTTTTATCCACATCAAAGCATCCAGCTAGGGGGGGGGAGGTATCCACCAATACATGTCGTTATTTCTGTGTCCTAGTCCTTGCTCGCTAATATCATCTGGTTATGACATTCACAGTTTGCCATGGAAAGATCCACCATGCTATTAATAGGTAAACCATCTATAAATGGACTATCTATACCATGGCTATGTTAAAAAGCCAGAGGGTAGCTGGGATGGAAAGTACTTAAGGAAACCACCTCCAAATGGATAGCAGTCGAGTTCGACTCTGGATTGAACTGTACAGGAGGGATTCGAACAGGAGTCGGGCTGGTGACTAATGGGGGATATTGCAAGGTGTGGATGAAAATAGTCAACATATCAATTGTATTCTTTACTGGAAAATATATGATATATGTACGGTATACATATTGTATAACACTCGGATTTTGTGGTACTTATCTGGCTGCTTGGCTGAAACATCAGGAAGAAACCCTATGGCATAGTCTGAACATGTGTCTGAAATGGATGATGCGTACCCAGCTGCCTGTATGCATCTTCATCCAAAGAATACTGTCCAAAGCATATACAACTTGAGCAGTGTTCGAAACCCGAAATGCAATTCCTTTATCCTGTTTGGTTGAGAACGCGATTCCCTCTGATAATCCCCAATATATTAGTTAGTAAAATCACTAACTATATCTAACTATCAACATTGGTTTATTTTACACAGCTCATCTAGAAAAGGTGATGAAGTTGGCTTATCTATGATCTTCCATTATTATCCATTATTCACATCCCATAATTTTCCCATATGTTATTTTCCTATGATTTTCCCCCTATTTTCCCATGATCTTCCCATTCCTGTGATATTCCCATGATCTTCCCATCAGCCTACCGACTCCTGCCCCTTGACCAAAAACTGTTCACCCTGTGACAAGCGGCCGCTGGGTTTTTGACTCGGCTCGTGCCGTCAAGATCTCGTGGTTGAAACCAACGGACAAAATACATGAATAAATATAGGATGATATAGTATATGTATGTATACATATGACATATCTATAAATAAATAAATATATATATATATATATATATATATTTACTACACATTTAATATACAAAAGTCAAGTGATACCACACCATCACCAACAATTGCTAGTTTTCTCCACAACTGAGCTGGTTACAACACCGTATATACCATGCTGCCCGGTGCCCAGGGGTCGATTGAGCTACAAGCTAAGGATGAGCTCCGTACTTTTAAATCTAGGCATTCCGATGGAATCTTTGATACAAATCCGCGCGAAAGTCGATGGTGGTAATGCCTGCCCAAGAGCAACTGACCCAGGGTGCGCAGGCAAACAGCACGGCAAAAAGAGGGCTCCGGGGGAAATGTGCATAGATGTGTGTGGGGTCATGGCCATGCAATACGACCTGAGGCTTCTTTGGACCCTGGTGTTCATCATGAAACCAAGTAACCATTAACAGATATTTCTCCGCAGCAGGCAGGGTACGGTCCTAGTTGGGAATCCGCCAACGGCCCACGAAGCATCCACCATGACTTTTCTTGTGTGGTCCATCTATTTGTCTTGCAATACACAACTGAAGTTCATGGTCGAAACATGTCTAGACCAAGTCCCCTTGAGGTCAAAATCCCAACAATAAAAACAAATAAACTAAATAAAAATAAATAAATATGTATATATATATGTGTGTGTAGCTCAAACCACCAACAAACCAATCCGTGTATATACTTGTATTATATGCAAAGAGCGAGCGAGAGTCATTGGTACTACGAGTTTCTCCTTCATTCTTTGGAAGTCATGTAGAAAACCCAACAGATACCCAACGTTTCATCAGGGCTTTGCTAAACGGCATGCACGGATACTTCCCCAACAAAGGCTGAAACGTCATGAAAGGTCAATGTCACATTTTCCGTGGAGTGTAGTCCCCATGACCCGCAACTTATATACTATGGCCCCCAAAATATTACCCATATTTCTTGGTCAATATCCTGGCTTTGATACCCTCTGGATTATGGATTATGATATGGTACAGCTCAGTTCCCCTCTAGCAATCACATGTGGCACATGAAAATTCCCCCATTGATAGATGTTTTGTTTCATTCAAACCCCCATTTATATCATTTACTGAAATTACCCTCTGGTAATTTAACATAGCTATTGAAAATCACCATTTTTAATGGGAAAATCCACTATTAATGGTCATTTTCAATAGCTACGTTAAATTACCAGAGGGTATTTACTGTATAAGGGCTGTTCCATTGCCATGTTTGATTGCCATGTTAGGTAAAAACATCAGTTTTCAGATCAAACCGCCCTGGTTCTCAGGTGTTAACTGCCCTACCTGCCACATAAGGCAGGCGTGCTGTTGAGGTCCAGCGCTAATAGAGGCTGGCCTGCAGTCAAGAGTTTCGCAAAATGGTGCAACAGGGCGGCGATTCCATTTTTTGAAGCATGGACTCAAAAATGTGCCAATTCAATTAAATCAATTATAATTTAATGAATTCAATTACGGAGTATCCATGATTATCCATCAATATCCCAGCGATGGGATCCAGCTGGATCACCAGCTCCCATCGTCATCGCAGTTGGCCCAGCTGTCTTCGAAGACGTGGTGTTTTTGGTTGGTGTTCCAATGACCCACCCAAGATTTCCCAAGATTTGGTGACAAAAAATGTGGGTAAAAATCTGTCGATTTACCACGTAGCTATTGAAAATGGCCATTAATAGTGGATTTACCCATTTGAAATGGTGATTTTTCATAGCTATGTTAGTTTACCAGAGGGTATTTCATTGCTTATAGTTACTTGACAAAGCCATTGAGTTTGCCTACAGTAAAAATCGGCTGCCAAAAAAAACGAAGAATTTGTCCATCAAAATTGCCATTACTAATGGGGTATCCCCCATTCCTGAACAAACCATAACAAACCAAATATATTGTTGTTTGTATAGATTTGTATAGTTGTCGGTAACTACTGCATATTTGTATTCCAGATTCTATATACCAGTTCATCCCTGCATATCGCTACTATGTCCCCATTATCGTTAATGTTATGAGGTAAATCATCCTTTTCCTGAAAAATATGGTATACCCATATTTACCTATCAATGTTTGTTGAAGTTGCATACCCATAAAAAACCACATTTCTGGCTCAAAAACCATTGAATTTACATGAATTTACATGAAGTTGAGGTATCCAGCATTTCTGGATACACTCAACTATCACATGGTTCCGTTATGTTCCGTTATATACCCTCTGGTTATTTAACATAGCCATGGAAAATCACCATTTTTAATAGGTAAACCATCTATAAATGGGCCATTTTCCATGGCTATGTTAAATAACCAGAGGGTAACCATTCCATCTCATTGTACCCCATGGTATCCCATCTCTCCGTTGAAGATCCCTGAGATCAGCAAAAGGGGCGATAAGGCCGCGCAGAGCGCTGGCGGTTTGGGTCTGGTCTCCCTCGGTCGAACCTGGGCAGGGCCCTGGGGTGACGGAGGGTGGATGGGATCCCAATGTTAGTATATCAGAACAATCATCAAACTAAATGGATCTAAATGGTGTTTCCATATGGGTATGGGTCAATACCTATAGATACAGTACATTTTTAGTGGGATTAACATCCATTTACCAGCTATTTTGGGGTTCACTAGGTACCAGGGTTTTGACCCATCCCCATATGAGTCACCACGTTCTCAAATTAGTGCCCCTATCGTTTTGCAGAGTTTCCTGCTTTGACCTACGGTCGTTTGCAAAGTATTGAAGGACGTCTTGTTGGATCCTCATCCCAGTGGTCGCGCTGCTTAGGTGGTCCCTCCAATCAGCAGGTCTGTGGAAATTCGGAAAAACCATGGATTTCTTCAAAAAACATCAAAAAACCATCACTCAGCCAGCGCACCAGATTTCATTCTGTCACTACAATGCGGTCCCCTCAAGATCGCTAAGTTTGTGAAGCAGCCGGCTGTCGTGTGACCAGTTGGTCACCCGGAACCCTTTTTGGAAAGATTTGGGTATCATGTGGGTATGGTTTTGGAGTTTTGGGATGTTTTGGGCTTCGTTCTGCACAGGTTCCATCTTTGCAAGTTACGCGCCCGTGCGAGACTGAACAAATAGCTTGCAGTGCGAAAAAGGCCCGATCGCCCCAACAGAGACTCTCCAAGGAAAAGCGCCAACAGCTTGACACACCAGGCGTCTTACTGAGGTCTACCAATGCTAGGTCAGGCAGCAAACAGAGATACACTGCATGGAGTTGGCCACTCCAGCATGCCTGCGCTGCCGGTTTCCGTAATCTGAGCTACCTGGCACCGAGTTTAAGCAACCCACCTCGGGCAACGTCATTGAAGTCATGTAAAGTCAACCAGCCGCAAGGGCACACGCCCATAATGGTGAAATGGATCCACCGGTGTTACCCCCATGATTTAAACAACGAATGCCCCACGACCTGGGGCAAAACGATCAAAACCGTGTCGTCTTTTTGTGAGTTGCAAAAACCAACATCCGATGCACACTCAAATACATTGGCGTATTTAATCAACGCAAATTTTGACGGAATCTCATGTGATCATGGGAAAATCCAGGTTTACAGGAAGTGATTAGAAAAAAAGAACACAGCAAGACTGTGGAAGCAAACAACGTGAGGATTTGATACATAAAAAACATTGTAGAATATCGATGAATATCGTAGATACAAGCTAGCGACACTAGGATGCAATCAAAACTTGGGGGAGATATGAAACCTCCATTTACGTGAACGATGACAAGATCAATGTGTATTTGAGATCCCCAAGTTCGAGAAGCCCTCGCGTTGTACTCACTTGTGCCAGGAAGCACTCGAATGTGTAAAAAGGAACCCACCAGAAGTAACATGGGAAACAAAATTTTCGTGAACCTGGATTTCTTTGACGACTATAGATTCCAAATCTATAGTAAAACAAAAGATGAATTTACCTGGGCATGGTTTTGTTGTTGTGTTTATCACATTACGACCCGCCAATCTGCGGGCCCATGAGTCTAGTTTGTCTAGTTGTCTTTATTTCGAACTCATCCACATCTGTCGGAGGGCGCGAAAAAGTCTCGTTGTCGCCTCATGTTGTTCCAAGCGTCAGTGAACATGGAGTAAAAATGGTGGATGCCCCAATTTACCCTCTGGTAGACTAACATAACTATGGAAAATCACAATTTTTAATGGGTAAATCCACTATAAATGGCCATGTTCAATAGCTATGTTAAATTACCAGAGGGTATGAGTACAAGGGGAAAAATGTGGTCAACGATTGGATTTGGGCTAGCCCTGAAGAGAAAACTTCCGAACAGGTCCATCTGTGTCTTTTTAGACATTCAACACATCAATACTTGGATTTGCTGATCTGGAACCAAAAAAAAAGTCCCTACAATGTGAGGCCCCCCAGTTATAAGTTGGTTTATAAACCCCAGTAACTATAGTTATAAGTACCATAAACCATAGGCAAATTGGAGTTATTTGCACCAACTTCGCCATCTTGGGGGCCTCACATTGTATAGATTCCCTATTTCTGGTGGATTCCCTGGGGAAATCAACATCACCAGCAGATCCACCCTGGATTTTTGTCGATCCCGTGATCCTCTGCATCCAGTGGCTGTGCTCTCTCGAAACCAAATGCAGTTGGTTCTCCTTCAGCAGTGCCACCTTGTCAAACTCACCTCGGCTGAGCCGGCGCAATTTCCCAGTGAAATCCCAGAGGCATTTCACAATCAGACCTGTTTTTTCGGTGCTTTTCATGGGAAAATCCAGGTTGCAATTGGAACATCATCTGTAACTGGGGCGAAAAGACCTGGGAGTTTTTCTACCCATCAAATGGTCACGACCTATGATCAGCGTGGCAAAAACATGTTTTGGAGTCTTCACTTAGGGGATCTTATGGTGTTCTCAAAAACCTTGGGAACATGTTTCTACTGGTTGGTGGTTTCACAAACCCCTCTGAAAAATGATGGAGTTCGTCGGTTGGGATGATGAATTATTCCCAACTGAATGGAAAGTCATTCAAAATTCCCGTGGTTCCAAAGCACCAACCAGATAATGAGATATAATTATGTGAACCGTATGGATAATTGATAACAATTGATATACATTACCAATTCATAAGCCTAGAAAATTCAGGACCATTCGACCATTCGTCACCGACCATCGCCAAGGTTCAATCGAAGGCTCTCTCCAGCACCGCTCGCCTCGGCAGCATCTCAGCATCGTTCATCACCACCAGTGGCTGGTGGTTGAGCCTACCCCTCTAAAAAATATGAGAACGTCAGTTGGGAAGGATGATTATTCCCATATATATATATATATGAAATGGAAAAATAAAAATCCATGGTTCCAAACCACCAACCAGCCATGATGAAGGATGCCTTACACCCCATGTACTTGTGGTTACATTGTTGAATTATTGCCTAGAGCAAAAATGCTTTCATGAATTTCATAGCCCCATAGCCCCAGTTGTATCCATGCAGCCAGCCATGTTTGATGATGTTTGATGGCTTATACCCTCTGGTAAACATACAAAAAACTATGGAAAACCACCATTTTTAATGGATAAATCGGTAAATCTCCATTAGAAATGGCCATTTTCAATAGCGAACTGTTAGTTTACCAGGGTACAGTACCCGATCTTTGATGGCATGGCCGCCATGTGGGATGGCGCCATGGTAAAACCATCCCCGGGCCATCGGCCATGGATATCTCCGAGTCGCTGTGAGTCTTCTGTCACCTCAAGGACCGCCCGGCGCTCGGCTCCCAATGAACCATCATGAATTCATAGGAGACATCGAAAAAAAGCCCCCACTTTTTATTAAAATCATCCTAAAATCCATAACAAAATCCCAACTTTCCCAAAAAGTCTTTCCTGGTTTTGACTTGAAGATCTTCCGAATTGTTTCTTCGATTTCTAGTAGAACGATGGGTCAGGGTCCCCCCGGGTCTCCCCCCGTCCGCGAGCTCCGCAGTGCCTCCACCAGGTATCGGAGCTCAGCCTCCGGATCGCTACTGCGCAGTAGGCAGCCGGGACGCTCGCGGACCAGCTGATCCACAGAGCTGTCCTGGTCGATCAGAGATACCATCAGGGGGCCATGGCTATGGCTTAGCTATACAATACCCTCTGGTAAACATACAAAAAGCTATTGAAAATGGCCATTTATAGTGGATTTACCCATTAAACAATGGTGATTTTCCATAGCTATGTTAGTTTACCAGAGGGTAGCTCATTGGGGATACTTAGGAATACTTAGGATATGTTTGTCACTGAAAATCAACATTCATGGGACATAATCTACAAAGGGGTTTGTCTTGGGGTCGGGTACCCGAGAAATCTGCCGGTTGGTCTATCATTTTGTTGGTTATGTATATATATCCATAAAGTATCCCCATTGAATCCCCATCTTTATGCTGCTAAATCCCAATACTTTTTCCATTTATGCTGTACTAAAAATGACCCACATTACCCTCAGATTCTGCAGGATATCCCACTAACCTCCATTTTCTTCGGGGATTTCGCTAGCAGAGATCTCCCAGATCTACCAGAGAGTATATCCCTCCGTCATTGCCGCGTCAGAGATAGCCTCCCGGCATTTGCAGTAGCCTCGCTTGTTGTCGCGTCTCACAACCTCAAATCACCCCAGTGGCGTGGTCAAAAAGAATGGTTGCATAGGATATTTAAAAAAAAAAAAACAATCAGGTCATATCAGGTAGTTTAACATAGCTATGGAACATATACATCCGTTTCATGGGTAAATTAATGGCTAAATCATCTAGGTTTTTCTAGATTTTTCTATAAACCATCCATGATTTTCCCATTTTTCTAGGGGCTTTAAACATGTTTAAAGCCGTAAAAGTTCCATGGAAGATCCCGCCTGCAACACGCCTTCGCAGAACTCGTCCTTCGAAACCTCCAACTGGTCGCAGAGGCGTCGCCTTGAGATGTTACCCATCCCCATGAGATCTCCAAAAGTGATAAGTTGATGATGAAATAAAATATAATATAATATAATATATATATATATGTATTTATTTATATTTATATATATATATTTATATATATATATATATATTTATATATTTATTTATATATATATATATATGTATTTATATAGTGATATTGATATATCGATGATATACTTTTGATGATGAATTTCCCAATGTTTATGGATCGGTATGGTCAATTCCAAATCAGCGATGCCCAGCGCCATCCAAATCATCCAAATCATCCAAGTCGCAGGGGAGCGAAGTCGTATCCGCCGAAGCGGTTGAAGGTGTAAAGCCTTAGGAAAACCATAGGAAAACCATAGGAAAATGGAGGTTTACCCTCTGGTAAACGTTTAGATAACTATGGAAAGATCCACCATTTTCAATGGGTAAATTCACTATTTCTATGGCCATGTTCAATAGCTATGTTAAATTACCAGAGGGTAGGAATTCTATCAAAGTGGGCTAAACAATCATCACGTCGGAGAACAGCTATTTTTATCAATTGTTATGATGCGGTTTTATCCTTCAACCTAAGAAATAGATTTTCAAAGTAGAGCATCATTTCTTTGAAGAAAATAGATGTTCTCGGACGTATTTTGCTTCTTGCTGTAGATCTGTGGAAGTGGTTTATCCTCCAGTCATCATATTTCTGCTTGGCTGGACAACCCATGAAAGTAGATCATGCATCATTTCGAAAAGAGTGGCAACTTCCCATTGCTTGGCTATATTACCAGAGGGTGACCAAACCTGTGTTCTTGCAGCATATCTATGCTTGTTGTTTCTTTTTTCACTTAACTAATAGATGACTAAAAATTGCAAAGTTGGGAGACATGTTTGATCTGTTGAATCAGTGCATGTTGAAGTCACAACGGCCAACAAAAACCAGTCGAACCATTGGAAGCCCCTGGTCCGACGTGGCACTGAAGGCTCCTCCCAATACTGGTATCATCATCCAATATCTACAAGCTCTCCAAGATCATGTCCACATCACCCGTCACAAAAACTGGCAACTCATGGCTCCAATATCTACTTCGGCACCCCAATAATTCTGGGCACAAACGAGATTAACTTCGGTCATTTAAGGGAGCCCATACGAGATGATCCACCATGTTCCATGGTTAACTCCCCCTATTTTCCATGCTGGAAAGAAGCATGAAGATGAAGCCACGAAAAGCCACGGGTCACCAGATGGTATATAGATAGATGTACTGGTTATTTTTATGGTATTGGAATCCAAACATGATGGGTTTCATTCAGAATGGATTGATTATTCCCATCCCCCTTCAGAATGGCTGTACAATCCAATTTCATCCAAAGAGTTGCTTACTACGACTCATTGATAAATATAAATCCCATGAAGTTGGTGATTTCATGTTATTTCATCAGTATATGAATCATTATAAATCCATAAATCCATATAAATCCCATTGTCATATCCCATAAAAGTCACCATGTTTTTTCCAGACACACGGGCCCCCCTTAACGTTTCGTCCGTCCGTTTCACGTCCAAGGTGCAGTGCCTGATGTGCCAGGAAACCATCCCCATCCAGAAGCCCCTGCGACCTGGGCGCTAGCATCCCAACTCACCCAATATATCAATCATTATCAATCTACATAAATAATAATAATAATAATAATAATATATAATATAATATAATATAATATATAATATAATATATAATATAATATATAATATAATATAATATAATATAATATATTATATTATATATATATATATATTACTAAGGTATATAGATATTATGTATGTATGATACATATTATATGAATGTAAATCATTGTAAATGTATGTATCATATATACATATATATATATCATATATACATACATACATATATATGGTATTATATATATATATATGTACATTATATTATATATATACATTATATTATATATAGGCATATATTATCCAATGTGTAACTGGATGATTCACGTCTTTTTTTGACACACTGTGATCTGCACCACTCAAAAGCCAAGGAGGCAGCAAATGTCTGGCGCTTGCACTGTATAAAATAATGTCTCGTTGAACCGTTAAATCCTTTGGGAGGCCAGTTCATTCGCAGGTTGAATCCCTCTGCTTACTGCTTGAATCCCTAATGAAATTGGCCTACTTGCTGTTTTCTAAATAATTTCAAATGTACTGTACTTCTGTTGGTTTTTCCATTTTTCTTCCGAATAATCCAATCATTGGTTCAATCCCGTTGGGATCCCGATGTGCTCCTTGTTGCTAGTTTTCAGCCTTGAGGATACCCGCAGGAACATTATCTTCCAATCCCTCTCTGCTTGGACCCTGGGATTAGTTCAGATTCACTGATCAATACCTTGCGAAGAATTCTCTGAAACTAAAACATAGATTTCTTTACCCACTTACTAACAGTTACTAACCACTGTCCACTGATCCCAGGACCCCCAAAAAATACGGGGTCCGTGGTTCCAGCCACGTCTTCCGATCCCAGGGACTTTGACATCTCTCCAGCCCAAAGCACGGCCATGCCCACACACTGACCTCGGGGGCTGAAAGCCTTGATTTCGTCCGGCAATCAAACATGGGGAAATCCTCTAGAAATTTGCATTTTACCCTCTGGTTATGTCAAAATAGCTATTGGAAATGGATATTTATAGTGGATTTACCCATTGAAAATGGTGGATCTTTCCATAGTTATGTAAACGTTTACCAGAGGCTAAACCTCCATTTTCCTATGGTTTTCCTGTGGTTTTCCCATTAAAACCTCCATTTTACGATGTAAAAAGATGGAAATTCATCATCTGTGAATGGATGGAGGATATTGCCATGTTTGATGACCAGTCCAGAGTTGACCAAATGTTTTTTGGGACGACCAGACTCGGGGTTTTCCCCTTAGAAATGTTATCAAATATGCTAGGTCGAGGTGATCACCAAATATGCTAATCCTCCTCAACCTTGTCATGATTATCAGCATCATGATGATCATCACGTTCATCATCTTTGATTCATAGTCTTCAATTGCATGTTCATTGTCATCATTCTCATCATTGTCAGCACTTTCATCTTCAATCTCAGTTCTGTAGATCGATCTTTCTACACAAGTGCACTGATCCTACAACTCTAAAGGGAGCAGCAAAACTAGCACCTTTTGAACACAAGAGTTGCTGCTCGGTACCACACATCACTGCTTCAGGGTGGAAGAAGCTATGTTGCTTGGGGGCTACCCGGTACCCCATCTTGACAAAAAAAAGGGTGGTGTGGTGTTGATTGTGTTGATTCTCCCATGTCAATTGAAAGACAATTTACTTCACCGAGTAATACGTGTGACACCAAATTTCTGTGAGCACCATGGTGTTGTTCCATTGCTTTTTTTGAGGCAAGATCTTCAACAGAAACCATGGTGCTTCAGCCCCTTTTCTCTGCACCTTTCCTGCAGATCTTCCCCTGCGGCAGAGCCGCCATGAAGCCTGAAGGCTTCTGAGTAGTCCTTGGTGCAATGACTTCTTTCACCATGTTGGGGTTGGGATGAACATGTCTGGTTGGTGGTTGACCCTCTGAAAAATGATGGAGTGAGTAACAGTTGGGATGATTATATATTCCCAATATATGGAAGAATAAAAAAGTTCCGAACCAGAACCACCAACCAACCATATGGATCAAACATTGAAAAAAACAAACGACAAACAGTTGGATCACTGTTCAAAGCACCAAATCCTCCAAAGAACTCGCCCACCTGAGATCCCCAGGTTTCGAAAAAAGCAGCGATGGCTGGTTCGGGTTTCACGTATGTGTCAGTGTATGGAAAGAGCGAGCGAGGACATATGAGGGCATGTATAGGTCATTTCCAAGCTTTGTTTCATCACAGGTTAATGTGGAAAAGATCGAACTGTGAAAAGAAAGAACATCTAATTAGGGATTCAAGGGGTAGGTCGAAGGTAGATCGAAGGATCCAAGGATTGATAAGATTGGCAGATAGGTCACCAGCTTCATACATAGCCCAAATACATGGCTGTATGATATTTATGTGTTATATTACGTGTGTATATATGTATATGTATATATATATATATATATGTATATATATATATATATGTATATATATATATATGTATATATATATATATGTATATATATATGTATATATATATATGGTGTATCATGGTATAAGATCACAGAGCAATATTTGTTCACCACCAAGTTTACGAAACACAGATGTTCTCCTCTCAAACAGGCACACCAAGTTCACTCATTTCGATGTATTACTCTATAATACTATATGTATATATATATAACATTATACAACATGGCCTATCACCGATGGCGACCCAAGCTCAGATTCCAGCATAGGTTCGTTATGTTAGTTGAATCTCCCCATGAAACATCCCCATGGATATCACGATATTTTTTGGATGCTGAATTATCCCCATGGAAAGATCGACACAGACACATTCATCAACACATCCATTGACACATCCAAGAAGCAAGGCCGCAAAGGGAAGCTCTTCGGTACAAACCGTTCCTCAAGATGTGACAAATCATCGACTGCCGATTTGCGCCAAAATTCATCAGTGTTTGATCAGTTCTTTTTACGGCTTTTTCTTCGGCGTTGATAAATGATTTACCCTCTGGTAAACTAACATAGCAATGGAAAATCACCATTTTCAATGGGAAAATCCACTATAAACGGTCATTTTCAATAGCTATGTTAAATTACCAGAGGGTAAATATATTTAAATGTCCCGTTCTTGGGGGTTGAACTATTTTGAACTAGGTAAGGTACCTAGTGATTCCCCTAGATGGGGATTGAACTATTTGAAATAATGTCAACCCCGGATTATGAGTACCATGGTTTATTGATTAGGGGGGTACTCCTCCAATAGTCATAATCTGATACAGTATCATGGTACCCTCCCAACTAAACAGCCTAGGGGGTTATTAATCCAGGGTTGACATTATTTTTGGGGATTGAACTATTTTAAACTCCCCTGGGGTGACCTTTTTCAAATGGGGCTTTCCCGACCTTCCTGCCGAGCAACATGAAAGCCTCCACACCATGGCCCAAGGTGTGAGCGTACCTGGACGAGGGCCCGAAAAACTAGGACTCTTGGAAGATTTACTGGATTTCTGATTTGATTTATGATATATATATATATGTATACATATATATATATATGTATATATATATACAAATATATATATATGTATACATATATATATATATGTATACATATATATATATATACATATGTATATATATGTACAATGTATAATTATATGTGTATATATATATACAGTAACCACATTTAAATATACGGATGGAACTGGTGTTTCATACTACCTCCGAGGCCTTAAATGTCGTTACCATATATGTAAAGGATTCAATAGTGATTTAATGATATTTAGTGGGAATTATATAGTGCGGTCTGGAAATGGAGTATAGCCCATTTCCAATGGCTCTCTTTGCAAGGGAAAATGGTAAACAACTATATGGGGACCGGGGTACCCGGGGTACCTTATTTTCAGAGAAACATAGAGAAACCCCATATCTAGAATGACTGGTTGGTGGTTTTAACCATCTTGAAAAATATGAGTTCGTCAATGGGAAGGATGACATCCCATATATGAAATGGAAAATGAAAAATGTTTGAAATCACCAACCAGATGATATCCATTCATTTGTCCATCTGTCTAATTTATATACAAAACTAAATCTGATCAGATCTGATCAGATCTGTTCATATTGGAATCAAATCCCGCGTCGCGATTCTTTCAGTGACCACGATGGTTTCAAACCACATGAAATCTTCGAAATTGCCGAAGAAAACACTGCTTAAATCAACATCTTTGCTGCTGAAAGTATGGTAAATCCTCAGATTTCTTGGTCAAAATTTCATGGTTCGAAACGCTTCAGTCATCCCCACGACCCAAAGAACAACGTTCCCACACCGCAAAAAACAACGCCAGGGCACTCGAACAAGAGAGCGCGGTACTTCTCGAAGGGGTCGGAATAAGCCAAGAACATCCTCCAGTGGTGCGGGAGTGTCACTAGAAGTAACCCCCGAAAAAGATAGACAAGCATTTCGTCGTAACTTACCCTCTGGTAATTTAACGTAGCTATTGAAAATGGCCATTGAAATAGTGGATTTTCCCATTAAAAATGGTGATTTTCTATAGCTATGTTAAATTACCAGAGGGTATCATTGTTTAAGTCGGATTTTACTTTTACTTTTTTTTGGGGTGGTACTGAACTTTAACTAAACTGTATGGTGATTAGGACTATAGATGGGGGTGACCGCCACCCTGCAGTGACAGTGATGGTACCTGGATGATGGGAGAAACATACACGTATATTAGTGGATACTGCATGTATCTATCAGGGGGGTTACTAACAGGGAAAATCCACCGAAAACAATTCATTTTACAAACCGAGAATGGGTCTAAACCCTGTTTTTTTTTCCAATGAATCAATTCTGGGACAAGAACGCTGAGTTATCACAATTGCTATAAATCATTAGAAATCAACAAATGGTAGGACTCTCAGGTCATGACCATCTTAACCAACAGATATCTGCAAAAGCAAAATGGGACTTCTGAACCTCTCCATGATCAAATGGGAAAATTCACAGAGTCTGTTCTGGCTAGGATGAAACTGACCCATCATGAGGCCAAAATTTAATCCATTCACACTGGGTTCATCTGGCTTCCATGTGAGATATTCACAGTTCCCTTTGATCCAGTCAATTTCAACAGCTTCCAGTCAATTTCCCTTGATTCCACGCACTGCTAATAGAGGATCAAAGTTTCCGCAAAAAAAAACACAAATCACCAGCTGGGCGATCCCAACTCATGCGAAAAATTCTCGGAAAAGATGGGATCCAGCAAGCGATCCAAGCCAGCGCACAGCTGGCTTAACTTACCCCCAATTTCCCAGAAAATCCCACGGACTCATGATTCATGGATTACCCCCTGGGTTAAGTGTGGATGATCACTGCTGGTGATAAGGAAACGCCATTTAATCATTTGGGTATGGGTCAAAATTAGATACCCCAATAATTGGATGGTTAATACTAAACTAGACTAACATCTGTGGTCCCACATCGGTCTTCCATTTTGACCCGCATCCATTTTTGGTTGATAACTAGAGGACACCATAGGAAACTCCCTTAAATGTCATAGGGCTTTCGCCGTGGTTTCAACGCAAAAAAGGTACGCTTTGGCCGCAATGATCTCTGTGTTGATGACCTTAGGACCGGTTACACCATCATGTGGAGGTTGTGTCTATGGTGAAACCATCTATAAATGGGCCATCTATACCATGGCTATGTTAGTCATAACCAGAGGGTAGATGTCTTATGATGTCTTAAACCCAGCTTTAACATTGTTTAACCAAGATTGTCCTTTTAAACACAATAGAACGGCCAGTTTCGGTCTCCTATATTCACTATCATCTACCGCTTGTTGTTCATGGGGTGGGAAGCCTCTATTTTTCATCAGCCAGTCTGAAAAGGATGTATGTAATGCTCATGTTTCTTGGAGATGTTCTATGAGATATGGGAATGTCCTGGTGGTTTTTCATGGGACATACAGTATTTTATGGTTGGAAAATATGGTTTTATGATGTTTTATGGGGATATCATTGATATTTCATGGGACATGCAACTGTCCCATCAACTAACCGTGCCCATGCAGATTTACAGCCGGGCTGTAATAACTCATGATCAACTCAGCAGCGGAAAAATGGACCTCCGAAACCCATGGGCATTAGAGGACTAACTTGCTATTCATCTACTGGTTGGTGGCTTCAACCCCTCTGAAAAATATGAGTTCGTCAGTTGGGATGATAATTATTCCCAATTAATATGGAAAGTCATAACAATGTTCCAGTCACCAACCAGTCTATCAGCACATCTTTGAGCATCAACATACCTCTTTTGGCTGGAATCACCAGGAACCATACTGCAGTCATGGTTGCTTAGCAATTGAACAAATCCGTATCCGATACGTTAAGTCGTTGAAATCCTCTCTGTGGTTCAAATAACGGTTGAAACGCGTTGGTTCCACATGTTTGTTGGTCAAATCTCGTATTTGCTGGTAAAGAAATGTCTCGAACCTTTAAGTTTATCGATTACTCACCCCGTCTAAACTCCTGCATTTCTTTTCCTGAAATTCTAATTGATGAAAATCCATATACTGTAATATTGACCTGTTTGTTGCTCACATTCGGGTGTTTGTTACTTAAATAACCCTATAGTTCTCAGAATTCTGAAGGAATCAATCCTGAAGCCCCAAAAGTTGAACCAATCCCAGCCCCCCAAAATATTGAACACCAAGAAACCATGGTCTAGTAAGGAATGTTTACACAAAATTTTGGACCATAGAATTCGGTGTCTTTATAATATGATGGAATTTATCCCTGAGATCTATCTAAATCATTCTAAATCTATCAATTCTCAAGTTTTTCGCCTGAAACTCCATGATTTCCTGCTTGGTGGTTGGGCCGCCCCTCTGAAAAAGATGAGTTCGTCTGTTGGGATCATAATTATTCCGAATTAATGTGGAAAAATAATCCAAAGGTTCCACACCACCAATCAGCCATACATTTCCATCAACCTTATGTAGGCGTCACGGCCAGCTCGGCTCGGTCGGCGGAGCGTCAGGGCACGGTGAGGAATTGGATCACCGCATCGCGCGCCTCTTTGGACAACTGACCTCGGCGGCCCAGCATTTTTTGGGGGTTCCAGGGGTGTCCATGATATAACGTTATATAACCAGAAGTGTGGTTATTCAATGGGATAAAAATATCACAGTATAATGTTATAACATCTTATATAACGTTATAAAATGTTATATAACCAGATAGGAAGTGTGGTTATTCAATGGGATTTATATAACATTATATATATAACATTTAGCAAAATAAATGGGGGAAATCATTTCTATGGGTGGTTTAGAATGGAAAATAGAATTCTATAAATGGATGGTTTATAATGGTTTTATGATGGTTTCTATGGATGGTTTCCATTATATAACCAACAAAAATGTGGAGAGAAAGGAAGTGTAGATGTTGGACAGGAAGTGTATGTAGATTCATATAACCAAGAACATGCCGGATGTTGGTTGATGATCAAAGGTATGCTAGCAATGCTACATACAAGTGGGACCATGATACTAACAATTCCCATCGAAGAGATTTGGTCCCTGACTTGCCCAAAATGTTGGTTGGAGGATGGCAACAGATTGCTCCAAGATGTTCGTTCCGACTTGACCAAAAGGTTGCTGGATTTCTGTCAGATTTTCCAAGAGGCAATGGTGGGGCTTACAGTAAGGAACAAAACCTATTCATGCGGCTAGTGTGGCGGTGCATTAAAAAAATGGATACAAAAGATCAAAGGTCAGCAATCAAAGAGACATGGCCCAACAGACTTGTGATCATATGGCTGTAACTTGCACCTTTGGAGGTACAGCGAACATGACCTGCCCCAGGTCGTCACCATTCACGGCCCCGTCTGTTGGCGCGCCAAAGTTCGAGATCCCGGGGGACCCGGGGGACCCGGTTTGGATGTCCATGCCTGTACTTTCAACGCCCAGCAGCCATGGAAAACTTGCCTGAGTTCCCTCAGGCGCCGCTCACGATGCTTTGCAACGTTCGCCATTTGTCCATAAGATGCCCTCTCCATGCGCATGCCGCTCAACTCCTGCGGCTTCACAAAATGCCGCCGGGGGCCTTTGACATGGCTTGCAATGTCTATGCCACCAACCAAACACTGTATGGTTCCTTTATTTACCAGAATGTTCCTTTCTTTTTCAAGGCAGAAGGACCTGTTGCCCTATGGGTGAGGCCTTGTCTTTGAAGTCTGCTCAAGACTTGAAGCATAAATCTTTGAGGGTTCGTCTCCCTCCAGGTCCGCTTTCGAATCTTTATGTCAACAGTCTGAAGTCTGGAATATCCCAGCTTTGCCGAGCACAGATGATGGTTTTCTTTACCCCCACCTCAAAACCTCCAAGCGCCGGCCCAACCCAGGCGCCTCGCCCAATGCCAAAGCCTTGGCTTTCAACTCTCTGGTCTGCTGCAAGAAGCGGATCAGCTCTTCAAAGCCTGCGTCCCCGCCGACGGAAGTTGCGATACCATCATTTCTTGGCTGTGTAGTGGGGATATCACCCACCACAATGGGGATATGTCATGGGGATATATCAGCGGGTAGAATGGGTAGATCCAAGAAATACACGCAAGAGGGTTGTCAAATATTTGAAGCCGTCAACCATTTCTGACCTGACAGTGACAAATTTACCTGCCTGCAACCATCAACACAATTTTTATCAACACCAATCCCTCTGTTCAAACTGCCAGTGGCAAACTTACCAACAAGATTTGGGGAAAAACTGATCAGTCACAATAAAAGAGAAGCAAGAAGAAACGCCATCTTTCACCAACAATCCGTGGGGCCGGGGCTAGACCAAGAAATACAGGATCTAACCAACAACCAAGGTAGTTGGAAAAGCCATGGCCAAGGATGTGTGCGTTTCGGTCCATACATTATGATCTACCAGGTGTAGCCAGGCATTGGCCGGTCAATGGTGATTTGGAAGCAATGAATCTAGGGCTTTCCATTGGGCGCGAAATTAAGTTGGCATTTTGTTTTTTGGTCGTCCAGGCTCCCTTCCTTGGTTTTTGCAGCTAAAATATCTTATTTGCTGCATTTTCCCAGTGGTTTCATGATTTTTTCCACGGTGCTTATCGAGTTTTCCATGGTGTTCATTGATTTTTCCATGATTTTCATGGAATTTTCCAAGATGTTCATGGATTTTTCCATGGTTTTCGTCAATCTTTCCATAGTATTCTTCAATTTTTCCATGGTTTTCTTCAATTGCTCTATGGTCTTCTTCGATTGTTCCGTGGTTTTCTTCCATTTGTCAATGGAATTTTCTATGTTTTTCTTCAATTTTTGTATGGTGTTCATTCATGTTTTACTGGTTTTCATTCATTGTTCCAAAGTTTTCATTGATTTTTACATTGTTTTCATTTTTTTTTCCGAAGTGTTCATTGATTTTTGGAGATACATGATGTGCAAACTATAAACTGTAGATGTATAGAGGTATACATGCATGACTAATCATGACTATATGCTCTTTGTAGATCAATGCATTTACAAGTGTAATTAATATATCTGCAGGTTTTGGTTTTAGGGTTTATTTAGGGTTGGTTTATGGTTTATTCTAGATTTGTTTAAGGTCTATTTAGGGTTGGTTTTAAGGTTTCTTTGGGGCTGGTTTAGGGTCTGTTTAGGGTTTGTTTAGGGGCTTTCCATTTCCGGACGAGCATGAGCCAAAAAAAATCCCCTATGGCAGTTTGGAGGATCATTGATCCTCTGCTTTGTGTGTCACGGGTTTGTTCGTGAAAATAGGCTACCCCGATCCAATCATTCAGTGGTTGATCATCACTTTCCCCATCGCGGCCGCAAAGCCACTTGGGGGTTTTAGCCCATTTTCAGACCAAGATGTGTCTAATTTTCAGCTCCCAAGTACGATGGGGAATTTCACGACCCAGGTACATGGAGATACATGGAGGTACTGTATCATATTTTTTCGGCAATGTGCGGAGGTATTCGCTTACATCGCCCTGGGAGGCCTTAAACATCCTTAAACCTCTTGCAGGGATGGACCAGGTCGCCTCCAACTGTGTCGATGATCTTGGTGAAGTCGCTCGCAAACCTCGTGGATGGAGGATGAGCCAAGGATGCCAAGGGCCCTAAATGCCATGGAAGAAATGGAGGTTTTACAATGGTTTTTACTATGTTTTGAAAATATCATGCTCTAGATACTTGTAGGGGGATTCTCCAGTGCCCACGAAACTATCCGAATCTGGGGGCGTTCTGAATTTTCAGCCACTGCAAAAAAAAAAAGGCTTTTTGCGAGAGAGACACTCCACACCCCCAAGGATGTTGTGCCAATCCTGCTGTCCAGTGGAGGAATTGGCAATGCCCAACATGCCCATCCTCAGAGGACGGCACATGGCTTTTCACCAGCAATGTGCCCTGGTAGTCCAAGCAACCATAAAGTTACAATCGGTTTGTCTGAAAATAGGATAACTCCATAAATTGATGGTTAATCACCATGTTTCTTACTAAAATTGCCATTTAGGGGTATGCCCCCTTTTCGGACGCAGAAATATTGAGCAAAGATTATGACGACGGGAGGAACATGGAGGAACAATGGTTTCAGTTGGGCGTAAGGGATGTGTGGAGTCATTCATCTCATTGCTAACTCAGCAATATGCCTTTATACTTGGACTTGCTTCACTTGAAGCTCAACAACCAGATCTTCCAACTAAAACAACATTTTCAACATTCCCTATAGGCAATACCCAGTGGTAGTTTTAGGCAACCGGTTGACTCGGCGCCCTTGTAAGGGTGACGAATTTGAAATTCTGATTTTTGAGGCTAAGAGACAAAATGCTGGTATTTGCAGGAGTCGTCAAAAAATGTTTGCAACATGGACATTCATTTCGATTGGCAGGCGTGTGACTCAAGAGTGAAAATTTGCGTTTCGCCTGCGCGGTGACTCGATTTTGCTCTTCAAGGGTCAAAAAAAAACATTCCTAGACCTTCCAAAGTTCAATAATTTCTGTACTTTTGGGCTTTTGGCCGCAAATGACCGCAAAAAAACGCAAATGCCGCAAATAGTTCAAATTGGACCAATCGTTCAGAAACACACTAGAACAACATGAAATTGCAAGAATGAAGCTGACTTGACGTATCTTGGCATGCTAGATGGGAGTTTCTGCATGTTGACAAACAAAGTGGACCTGCTTAGCAGACGGCAAGAAAAACAAATCTACCGGTTGGTGAAGATTGGTGAAAAATATGACAAAACAACTAAGTCGCTCAAAGAAGGCTTTGGTGCCACGCTAAAAGCAATCTTTGCTGGATGGGAGACACCAGACCGCTATAGACGTTGAAACAGACTGTTTTTGTCTGAATTTGTAAAAAAAAAGAACGCCCATGTTTTTTTTTAAGAAATGCCTACAGGAAATTCCAAAACTGCTCTGAATTCAACAAAAATGTCGACAGTTTTCCCGCAAAAAGTACGCAAATTTCCCGCAAAAATACGCAAATATCCGCAAAAGTACGCAAATCGGGATTTCTTAACTGCTGCGGTTCATGCATGTGACAAATCGCATCAAATCGCAGCTTGTTGGAATGAAAACTGTTATTTCTGCAAACTAAGCATGCTTCAAACTAACTATTTTCAAATATAGCTTCGTATTCCTGCATGTTTGAGGCTTTGAATCTTTGGGGGCTCCAATCACCAACACAAACTCTGCAAATTTAGGAAAGCATGGACATTATCACCAGCAATTCCAATCGGTGAATTGTGAGGGACCCACTGCGGCAAGATATTTTAACCACCCGTGCCATATCTAAGCTAGCAGTCAGAACTGCTGTAAAGAGTTCACTTTTTGTTGAAACCGTTTACATTTAAGATTAAACGTTTCAACCGGCCCAAAAGTGCAGAAATCCCAATCGTACAGAATTTTCTGTACTTTGGAAGGTCCAGGTTAGAAATTTATGATTTTCAATCATCCGAATCATATATCAGGGCGACATTCACTCTTCCAGTTTTTTCCTCTTCTCGACGCTAGCGGTGCCAGAGCGCTGGTGGCAACGCAGAAGCCACAGTCTGCAACAAGGCAGCGTTGTGACGCCATGTCCAGCTGTAGGCCCAAGTGTACCTTTTTCTGTACACGTTTTGTTTTTTTTGTAGAGTATCGACGGAGGTCGCCATTTTTTCAAGTGTTTCCATGTTCCATCCATTTGTTGAGTACCAGCAACAATGGTTCTATAGGATTTATCCCACAAACGACCTCGAAAATGATAAGTCTTAGTCTTAGTAAAGAGATTTTTTGTTTGTGGTTGACTTGGGCCAACTTGAACCTTTTGTGGGGATAATCTTTGACACAACTGACAGCATGTGCAACGTTTGCATCTTCCGTAACGTAAAGGAAGTGCTCGTCAGGGACGTTAATACACCCCCCCACCCCCAACCCCCCCTGATGATCATACGACAGCATGCGCAACGTGTGCATCTTCCGTAACGTAAAGGAAGTGTTCGTCAAGAACGTTAATACACCCCCGATGATCATACGACAGCATGTGCAACATGTTAAAAACTCAAAAAAATCAAATCCTATACCCCCATTTCCGCAAGCCTCATTTTTGAAATTTGCAACCCTTCCAAGGGATCGTAAATGGCACATCTAAAAATTGGCAACCCTTCCAAGGGCGCCGTATCAGCCGCATGCCTAGTTTTACGTTCCCCTGGATCCCCTGGGAAATCAGAAATCACATGAGCCCTCATCCAGGGCACGTCTTGCACGCCTCGCCCACGGCGGCATGAACGCTGCACTTGGACCTGGGGCACTGGGCACTGGAAGCGACAGCTTCGTGAAGAGAGGTCCAAGATTCAACAAAGTTCCCATCTGGTTGGTGGTTTTAACCATCTTGAAAAATATTAGTCAATGGGAAGGATTATATATCCTATATATTATGGAAAATAAAAAATGTTCCAAACCACCAACCAGCCATTTAAAGAAAGCAAACATCAAATGGAAAGTTCCATTGGGATCTTTTTGGCACGGACCAGATTTGTTTGTCGCCAGCATGGTGACACTGCACTTAAAAAAAAAGCCCAACCGATGCCAAGGATCAATGTCAGAAAGGTTTCGCTGATGCAAAAGACCAGCTGAGGCAAGTAAAAGGTACCCAGGATGTTCTTCGAAAGAATCCTGGGGCCGATCTTGGATTCGGAAGGGGCCACCAGGGCTAAAACTGGGGCCAGCAGTTGAGCTGAAAAACATCTTCAAACCATTTCGATGTATTTTGATAGATCTTTGCAACTAATTAACAGGAGTCTGACGGAACATAAACGAATCAATTGGGAAATTTGACCAAATCAGGGAACTAACCAAAGATTGGAGATCCAAAGATTATGGGATTCCAATGTATATGTGAAGATTTTTGAGGATATTATCATCCAAATTTACACTGAACGGGAATTGGATGTTAAATGATTTTAACATATTTTAACATTAATCAACCTCTCCAAAAGTCCAAAAGTCAACTGTAATTGACAATCCTAGAAAGGGATCGAAAGATCATAAAATGTAATATAGATTAATATAGCATCGAAACGAAACATCACCCCTCATCACTTCAACTCCACTTCCGATCTATAAAAAGTGCGCAAAAAATCGCAGATCGAAAACGCCGAAAAAGATCGTTGCGTGTTCCAATTTCGCACAGTGTACTTTTTTCAGTCAACAGATATGGACAAAATCCATTCGGAAATCCACCCAGATGGAGATGCCAAGACTCTGTCCATTCAGCACCAAACCTTGGCTGCCAAGGGTTCTCAGCCGCTTTGGAGGAATGGGATGATTTTAGAGATGACTCGATGTGAAGAAATTGGATGGTAAATATGATTTATATTGGTTTATATATGTTTATATATGTTTATGGCATCAGATGTTACCACCACATGGATTTTTGTTAAGATGGCGAACTGTGGGGGAACATTGAACAAATTGTACAACAGCAATTTCTATGTTTCCTCTAGCGCCAAAAGTTCAGAAATCAAGTTGGAAATCCAAGTTCCGATCCACTTCCAGTCCTCAAATAACTCGCTCAGAAGCTCAATATCTTTTGCAAATCTCCCTTTCCAAATTGCCGAATATTAGTCAACAAAATGGCAATATATATATATATTCTCACACTGTTTAACATCTCAGAAGCATTCTGGACCTATTTAACACATTTTAGCATCTTAAGTCAGCACATCTCCACTCTCCGAAGTCTTTCTTTCCACCTCGACTAGCCCAAGAGGCTGAAGGCCTTCTTTGCAGAGGTTGTGGCGTCATTGTAGTGCATCAGCCTGGTCAACGGCTGCATCCTGCTGATCTTTTTGGGTACCTCGTGCAAATAGAGCTGTGTCTTATAATACATATATATATAATATGTATATATATACATATATATATATATATACAAAAGTCATATAATTGTTTAGATATATGTATAGCACTCCCCAAATCTGATAGAAAAGTGAAGTACTGCACCAAGCAACGTGGTCGGCACCTCGATGAAGACTGAGCCAGCCATGGCCTCTGGGGAAGGGACAATGGCTGGATAAATAGAGTAGAACGGGTAGAACTATCCAGTTTTACCCATTTTCTGCCCTTGTGGCAATCATGATACAGAATACTATAATAGACGTGGAGGTTTCCTAAAATGGTGGTACCCCTAAATCATCCATTTTCAAGGGATTTTCCATTAGAAACCATCCATTTGGTGGTACCCCCATTGTAGGAAACCCCCCATATTAAATCATATTAATAGATTGGAGTACCGCTATGGTGCAACAATAGTGGGATATACCCTCTGGTTTTCACTAACATAACTATGGAAAATCACCATGCTATTAATGGGAAAATCCACTATAAATGGCCATTTTCAATAGCAAACTGTTAGTTTACCAGAGGGTAATATGGATATATGGTCAACCATATGGGCTTAAACCATCCCAATAACCAGGCTGGGAGTCATTCATCACATTCACCCATGAAAAATACACTTGGCAACACCCCATTGGGGCATGGTGACGACTATATACCATTATATTACCATTGATGTCAACCCTGGAATCAATTTGAATGATGTGGGTATGGATCAATACCTATGAATACCATTTTTAGGGGGATGAACATCCATTTACCAGCTATTTTGATGTTCACCAGGGGTACAAGGTTTTGACACACTGCCATATTACCATTATAATCTATCGTATGTCTTGCAACCATCCAATAAAAATATCCTATCATATACCAGATCGGAATATATCGAATACATTATTGAACCACTACTCGGAGGTGCTGAAGGAGCCATAAAGACTACTCAGATTGGACTCCCGATTCTCAAAAGGATGGATAAACCAGTGGGAAAATACTTCAGCAAGTATAGTCCATACAAAACACACATTAAAAACATAGTTTACTGATTGATATTCAAGGATATGTTGGAATCTGTCTTAAGAATAGGTAATATCTGCAGAGATGTTTTAGGTCACAACATTTGATGGACCTGGCTTCCCAATACAGAAACTCTTCTTAGAACAGCCTGGCTGCTACGTGTAACCCTGGGGCCCTGGGTCAAAATTCTGTGAAATCCCACGTGGCGGTCCGCTGAGGTTTCACCCAGGCGCGGCCATCATGCCGGTGGCGTTGCCGTTCACGCCACCACCGACCTCATTGGTGTCTTCCCCATAGATTTTTGCACAGGACTCCTGGATCAAAATCATCAAAGCCACCGCAAGGTTGGAATGCTGAACCAGTGCGCTAAACAGAATGCTGAACCAGGGCCATGATGTTCGGAAATATGCGGGAGGGGGGGGCCGGTGACTGGTATACCATGAAAGGTCATTATCCATCATTCACATTATTTAAATTTAAACAGAATAATATCCCGTAATTGAACACTCTTGGTTGTGAAAACATGTTTGCAAGTGTTTCGTACTCCTATTCTTCACCCAACCAGTAAGGAACATCTATGTCCACTAGTTGTCCCCATCTTTGATCTAGGTCTGTACCATGTTATGGCATGTTATGACTCCTCGTAACTTTTCAGCAAAATCTCAGTTTCTCCCTGTGGCTACTTATAACACCCTAGAAGCTCATGAAGACATGTTCCTGTGTCTAAAACAAGGCTAGTTAGTGTGTACCACCCCCCATGTCTGGCCATCAGACCTGGCAAATGATGAGAAACTCATGGGAAAATCTATAAAATCTCCTACCCTCTGGTAAACTAACTTAACTATGGAAAATCACCATTTTTAATGGGAAAATCCACTATAAATTGTCATTTTCAATAGCAAACTGTTAAATTACCAGAGGGTACAATCCTCAGGTCCCAGGTCGAATCCGTGACCAGCGCTCCAAGATCCGAGACACGGCGATGATCACCACGGTCTTCCGGGCCTTCTTGGCAGCTCCGATGGCCTTCAGCAGCTCCAATTTGCCATACGCCTGGAACGTGGAGGCTCAACGTCGCTGGTGGAAGGAAAAAAAACGTCAGGTCCAAGAATATTTGATGTGTTCAAAGGTTGGGGGAGTGTCGAATGGTGGATTTTTCGTGATTTTTCGTGATTTTTCCACTTTCAGGTACATGTTCGGTCGCCCTGTCGCCCTTTCCTGGGTGTCTGGAAATGGAGGATTTATGATAAGGCCATTTTCAACCATGACAAATCACCTTTTTCTATGGATAAATCCAAGTTTCAATGGCCATGTTCAATAGCAAACTGTTAGTTTACCGGGTAATCTAAAGGCCATTTTGGAAGGATTCCCCTTAACCATGATTCCAGGCCATTTCGTCATACTTTGCCCAGATTTTCACCTAGACCCACCCATGCCTCAGGGCTCTTGCAGGTCTCGCCAGAAGCATGGGAGAAGTAGTACCCAGGGCAGTCCTGGCAACAACATGATGTAAATCGCAGGACAAAATATGGGTGTATAATGTACATATATGAATATAATGATATAATGATATATAGAGTGTTAATTATGGCTAATTCTGGAATAGAATATCTGGAAATATCATAAAGTATCTGGAAGATTATCAAACAATGACGCAAACCAACTGGTGTGGGGATACTGTTGTGAAAAGCTACCATGGATTGGTTTACTGGGTCAACCAGCTTGTCTAACGATGAATCAATCTCTGGTGCTATAAACGCGAAATCATCAAATATAATCAAATATTCCCTAAATAGACCACGTTTCGAGCCCTTCTACGTGACAGTCGCTGAGGGAATGAAATGCATCAAATTATATAAATGTTACTTTCCAATTCAATTCCTACAGATGATCCCTTGACCGACGAATTACGCCCTTTACCCCTTTACCCATCATGTCATGTACATCTATTCACCAACAATTTGACCAAGCATTCACTGTGTATTTCACCCTTCAAGCAATTCTTGGTGGCTTTGGATTGATGCTTTGGCCTTTGGAAATGTGGATGGAAAGCCCCGCGACTGACGATGGAAAGCCCTTGACTTTTCGGAATGGGAAAACCCTTTGAATGGAGATATGTCAGGTACATATCCCATCTGTGTTAGATATAACCAATGCTACTATATCTACAACTACTGGTTCTTTGACATGTAATAGAACTTGTTGTGATTACTATCATCATAGATATCATAGTAAATACCCAGTTAAATAAATCCCATACTCTCTGGTAATTTAACATAGCTATTGAAAATGGCCATTGAAATAGTGGATTTTCCCATTAAACATGGTGATTTTCCATTGCTATGTTAGTTTACCAGAGGGTAAATCCCATGAAGGATACCGTTCAGACCCCACCAGTTTCCCACCATAAAATCACCCAGAAATCATCCTTTGAAGCCAGGGCTTCCAGCAAATCATCCCCTGGGACTCGGACTGGACGTTGCGCCCGTTCGGAACTCTACAAAAAAATGGTTTATATCTGTATATTTGATGGGAAAATCATGGGAAAACTATGGTTTATGGCATGTTTATGGTTTATATATCATTATATATTTATACTTAATGGAAAAATCAAGGAATATTGACGGGAAGATTATGGGTGACCCTTTGTTAAATCAAAAGTTCAACCCTGAAAATCACCCATTTTTAGTGGAAACTTAAATTACCAACCCCTATCTAGGTCTATGTTAATTTACTGGAGGGTAATGCAATTAGTATCTATTTGTACCTACTGTACAATATTACCCAGATCATGAGCACAATCTTACTATTATTGTAGCTACTATTATTGTACGGGTAATTGGTTACCATACTGTTGTATACAATTCATATCTATTAGTACTGATTACTATATTAACTCTTCATAATAGGCAGGTGATTGAACCATCAATGCCAAGAAAAAAAAGGACTGCTCATTTGAGATGATGAAAACATATATATATATGTATATGTTTACATATACATATACATGTACATGTACATAGACATAGACATATTACATATTACATAACACATAACACATAATACATAATACATATTACATATAGATATACATATACATATGCATATACATAATACATATTACAAAATACATATTACATATACATATACATATACATATGCATATACATATTCAATTACATATTCAAATACATATTACAGATTACATATTACATATTACATATACATATGCATATGCATATACATATACATATTCATATACATATTACATATTACATATTACATATTACATATTACATATTACATATACATATACGGATTACATATTGCAGATTTTCCATATTACATATTACATGTTACATATTACATATTACATATTACATATACATATACATAATACATAATACATATTGAATATTACATATTACATATTACATATTACATATTACATATACATATACATATGCATATACATATACATATACATATATATATACGTATATGTAGAAAAACGGTGGTTTCTTCCCCAAAAACAAAACCTTTTTTTCCAGAGGCATTAGTGCATCTAATTCCGAGAATCCATGTAGGGATTGGTCTTTTCAATCACAACTCTTTAACAGCCCAGTGCTTGAATACAGCAGATGTCTCCAATCAATGATTTTGACTGAAATGGCCACCCGTGCCGCATGCCTATGGATTTCAACATTATCTACATCTGCCTGTCCCCTCTGCCCGGCGTTAGCAACAACCGCCGAGGCGCCGTAGCCCAAGGCGTCTCCAGTCTCGCCTGAGGTTGCTCTCGGTGGTTTCGACCCATACCAGCGGCACTTCCCAAGTGGTCACAATGACCAGAACGAGGATGCTGATGAGAATCATGATGAGGATAAGGAGGGATGAGGATGAGAATGAGGAAGAGGATGATGATGATGATGGTGGTGGTGATATGCATGCATGAGACGTCTGAGAGCATCGACCCATGGGGCAATTGGTCCAGATCAGGTCCTAGAAGGCGATCAGGTCCTAGAAGGCGTGCTGTCTTCTCCCATTCATCATTTTCGCTACCCGGCGGTTCGCTGATGACACTGGAGGGTATGGTTTGAATCTTCCGAACATAATTTCCATTATACCCATTACAGTCCCCATGGTTGCAAGTTCATTGCCAGGTATTCAAACATGGCTAAATTGAACATCCACCAATCCACCATTGAGTTCCATGATTTTCCCAAAAAAAAACACATTTCCCTCGAGAATTTCCCACCTTTGACACCCGGAAAAAGGGTCACCGTGTCATCCAGGTCGCCCACGGACACCACCGGGAAGAGGTCGCTACCATAGTGATCCACCAGCAGTGTGGCCAAGCGTTCAACTCCTGCGGAATATTCGCCCTCATAGGTAACCTCGGAGAAAATATTACCCAGGAAGCAAAAAGTGTGCACCAAAATGTCAGGTTTAAGCAACACAAAGGGTAAGTAAAACATTGTAGAACATAGTAAAACCAGACAAAATCCCGGATTCTTTGGGAATCTACCACCAAAATTGTTGCTTCGAGCAGTCCAAGAATGGAAAGGACTGGGATTGTACCAACGAAAAGTGGTGGTTCAAGGAGCAACAACAAGAGTGTAATAAAAATAACTGTTTCACCAAGAACTATTAGGATTTCAACCAATAAAAATTGTGAATACTTGGGACTCTACCTACAAATTTTGCTATTCAACAACAAAACGCGGATCTACACCAACATATTTTGACAGTTTTAAGAAATAAACCATTCTATTTGGGGATGTATTCCCATTATCCCGGCAAGAGACCCCAAACAGTGTGGGGGAATGGGAGGAGAATGTAGGATAATCTTGAAGATGATAATGATGATGGTGATGATGATGATGATGATGATGACGATGATGATGATGAGGATGAAAATGTTGCTGACGATGATCTTGAGGATGATGTTGCGGAAGATGAGGTGGAGGGGGATGATGTTGCGGAAGATGAGGTGGAGGATGATGATGATGATGATGATGTGGAGGATGATGATGTTGAGTGGGGTGAGGATGAGGATGATAATGTGGAAGATGAAGTTGAGGATGATAATGTGGAGGATGATCATGTTGACAAGGAGGAAGATGATGATGTTGAGGGTGATAATGTTGAGGAGGAGGATGAAAAGGATGAAAATGTTGCGGAAGATGAGGGGGAGGACGATGATGTTGCCAAAGATGAGGTGGAGGATGATGATGTTGAGGATGATAATGTGGAGGAGGAGGACCGGTCCCAAGACCTAGAACCACACTTTGTGCGAGCCTGCGCAGTCGAAATGCACTTAGACATATGAATAGCCACTTTGTGTGGAAATTGACTGGAAAAGTGCCCGAGCCCAGTCCCTAGGTGCCCACTTTGTGCGAGCCTGCGCAATCGAAATGCATGTCAACATTTCACTACAGCCACTTTATACGGAAATTTACAGGAAAAATGCTCGGGCCCAGAGTGTGAGCACCCTGATCAAGCACCGGCCTTTACCATTACCGTAAGAACCCCTCAGTGTGGACACATTGTTTGGGGAAAAAAGGTGATGGAAACGGTCCGTTAGTCCGTTCAAAACACTCACGGGATTCAAACAACAAACATATGCGTCTGACCAACAAAAAAGGGAACAATATATAAAACAGAACACACAACGAACTGGTCACTCTTAGTACACCAAATAATAGGTCTTCTAGGTCTTTGGGACCATCGTCCTTATATCCCCATGAGTTAAATCGTCCCCTTCTGATATCAGCTATATCATGTTATATCACATAAGCTAGGTCCCAAAATTATGGTTTTTCAAAATAAATCTGTTATACCATTCAGAATTTACAATCCATTTGTATCCATATTAGGAATCTCTTAAAATATGAAAAATCTCCAAAACCATGGGTTTCAATTTGTTTCAATCCTAAAATGGTCTAATTTTGCCGTAAATTTGGATGATTTCGAGGGAAACCTTCATATCCGAGACGCCCAAACCTCCCCCGTGGCCACATCCAAGCTGCCATGGGCAGGTCCAACGCGCCAATCTTGAAGGGCGCCGGCTTCTCTTCGGGATGCGCGTCAGGACCTCTGGATTTTTTCATCGCGGGGATTGCACGGCACGGAAACTTGGAAAAAAGGTACTGTATAGAGATATCTATCTATCGATCGATCTATCGATCTATCGATCCATCAATCTATCGATTTATCGATCTATCTATCGATCTATCTATCTATCGATCTCTATCCATCGATCGATCAATCGATCTATCCATAGCTATCGATCTATCGATCTATCTATCTGTCTATTTATCTATCTATCGGTCTATCTATATAAATATATATCTATCTATCTATCGATCTATCGATCTATATCGATCTATCGATCTATCGATCGATCTATCGATCTATCTATCTATCTATCGATTGATCTGTCAATCTGTCAATCTGTCAATCTATCGATCTATCGATTTATCGTTCTATATCGCGATCTATCGATCTATCTATCGATCTATCAATCTATCGATCTATCGCTATCTATCGATCTATCCCTCTCTCGATCTATCGATCTATCTATCTATCGATATACCGATCAATCTATCGATGGATCTATCTATCGATCTATCGATCCATCGATCTATCAATCTATCGATCTATCGATCTATCTATCTATTTATCTATCTCTATCCACCGATCGATCAATCGATCTATACCCATAGCTATCGATCTATCGATCTATCGATCTATCTATCTGTCTATTTATCTATCTATCGATCTATCTATCTATCTATATATATATATCGATCTATCGATCTATCGATCTACCAATCTATCGATCTATATCGATCTATCGATCTATCGATCTATCGATCGATCGATCTATCGACCTATCTATCTATCTATCGATCGATCTGTCAATCTATCGATCTATCGATTTATCGTTCTATCGCGATCTATCGATCTATATCTATCGATCTATCGATCTATCGATCTATTGCTATCTATCGATCTATCCATCTCTCGATCTATCGATCTATCTATCTATCGATATACCGATCGATCTATCGATCGATCGATCTATCGATCTATCGATCGATCTATCAATCTATCGTTCTATCGATCTATCGATCTATATCGATCTGTCTATATCTATCTATCGATCTATCGATCTATCGATCTATCGTTCTATCGATCTATCGATCTATCTGTCGATCTTTCTATATATCGATCTATCGATCCATCGATCTATCTATCGATCTATCGATCTATCGATCGATCTATCTATCTATCTATCGATCGATCTATCGATCTATCGATCTGTCTTTGGATCTGTCTATATGATCTGTCTATCGATCTGTCTATCGATCTATCGATCTTTCTATCTATCGATCTATCGATCTATCGATCTATCTATCTATCAATCGATCTATCTATCTACCTATCTATCTACCTATCTTACTACCTATCTATCTTTCTATCTACCTAACTATCTATCTACCTACCTATCCATCTATCTATCTATCTACCTATCTACCTATCTACCTACCTATCTAATCTAATCTAATCTAATCTAATCTAATCTAATCTATCTATCTATCTATCTATCTATCTATATATATATATATCTACCTATCTATCTATCTATCTATCTACCTATCTATCTATCAAGCTGGGCAAGGCTCCGGGCCTCTATTGTGGCCATTTTGGGCTTGGATCTGGGCAAAGCTGTGGGCCTCTGTTTTGACAATTTTGGGCCTGAACCTGGGCAAGGCCCTGGGCCTTTGCTTTGGCACTGGGCAAAGCTGTTGGTTTCTATTTTGGCCGTTTTGGGCCTAAGTTTGGGCAAGGCTTTGGGCCTCTATTTTGGCAATTTGGGGTCTTGAATCCGTGGTCAGACCGTGGTCAGACCGTGGAATGTCTAAACTTTTGCGTGGAATGTCCGTACTTTAGCGTGGAATGTCTAAACTTTTGCGTGGTCCCACTACCCCCAAAAATCTATCAATTTTGCATAATTTTGGTATATTTTTGCACTTGTTCAATTTGTATTCATGCCAACAAGGGCATACCCGCAATTGCTACAGCGGGTCATGTTGCTACAGCGTACCCCTACGCCCTAAAACCATGTGTCTTGGTGGGCTTTATCTTTGCTGAGTGGGTGATCAAGCTGGGTGTTTGTGCTTGTTGTGCATTCATTCGTTTCATTGTAGTTCAGTGGTCTTATCAGCCTGAGAGGTGCCAAGGCATTCTTGCATATCATCCGGTATATCCGGCAAGTGCGTGATTTGAATCAAGTAGTTTGAAAACAGTTGTTGTTTGGCAAACTTCGATGGCAATCGATTGTGGCGTGGACCGCCGACGGACTGTGCTGACTAGGCTTTACCTGCTGGCAGAAAGCCGTGTACACTGTACCTGTCGTAAATATATCGTCGACGGTAAAACATGAAAACATGGAATTGGAATGTGTCTGAAAATGTTACATAAAACTAGCTCCGTGCTGTTGGTACACTGGACGCCAGGTACTTCAAATCAAGTGCAGGTTGCTGCTTCAGTCCTCATACGAGGTCACGGCAAGTGCAGCTTCCTTCAGCCTTCGCGCGAATATCGTCGTGATTCGTCATGTGATATCTATTCCACAAAGGCGCAGCGCGAAATGCTACTTAACGAGCAAATCCTCATGCTTTGGCAGAAAATGAAAGGTGTTTGCGGAGAGCGGCAAGAGCGACTGAGACTTTTTGGTTGGAATGTGCTTGGTCGGCTTTGTTGTCAAATGTGCTTGCAAGATGCAAATCTTCTGCTATTCTTTCTGGCATATCTTCTGGCATTCTATCTGGCATATCTTCTGACATTCTACCTGGCATACCTTCTGACATTCTATCTGGCAAATCTTCTGCCATTCTATCTGGCAAATCTTCTGACATTCTATCTGGCCCTCCCATGTTAACTCCTCGATGACAAGGCCTTCCTCCCATGTTAACCCCCGAGTTTCCCCAAAGACAGGAGGCAGAACCACCAGGAAAGACATCAGAGTTATCCCAAAGACAGGAGGCAGAACCACCAGGAAAGACATCAGAGTTATCCCAAGGCAGGACGAGGCAAAACCACCAGGAGAGACATCAGAGTTACGCCAAGACAAAAGTTTTGGACATCAAAAGCAGCATGAGTAACACACAAACATCAAATCATCAAAATCATCACCAAAGGTCTTGTTGTCACATTGCAGCCGGGTCGACATCAAAAGAAGGATGAGGAACACAAACATCAAATCATCAAAATTCATCAAAATCATCACCAAAGGTCTTGTTGTCACATTGCAGCCGGGTCAACATCAAAAGAAGGATCAGGAACACACAAACATCAAATCATCAAAATCATCACCAAAGGTCTTGTTGTCACATTGCAGCCGGGTCAACATCAAAAGAAGGAAGGAAGGATCAGGAACACACAAACATCAAATCATCACCAAAGGTCTTGTTGTCACATTGCAGCCGGGTCAACATGAAAAGAAGGATCAGGAACACACAAACATCAAATCATCACCAAAGCTCTTGTTGTCACATTGCAGCCGTGTCAACGTCAAAAGAAGGATGAGGAACACAAACATCTAATCATCAAAATCATGTCATGCTGTGTCATGCTTTAAATACCTATAAACACACTTGCAGCCCTAGTCCACTCAATGTTTGACATAGTTTGACGCTGACTCTTGCGATTCCTCTGCTCTTTTTTTCCGCGCTGATGCTCTTAGCTCAAGGCGGGCCTACCCCATCTCCTTATTGGATGGCTTCGAGTCTTCTTCGCATATTGTCGTTCCAACACATCCAGCATCTGCGGCACACCCTCAGAGAGTCGAACCCCGAATTCCCCAAGTACCGGCAGCCAAGGTCGCGATGCGCCAACCTGCTGCTATCCCCCTTGCTGACAAACAGCAGGTGGTCGGGGGTTGGGGGCGTCCTCACACAGGTGCGACACAGATTGACTTCACTGAGGTGGCCGGCGTGGAGCACGCTGGGGCATCCGACCGTGTGAACGGTCCCAGCCGCCGACCTCAGCACCATCAAGCCCCGAACCGCAGAAAAGGCATCACCGGCAGCACCAGCGCCGTGCTCCATTTCGCCGCAGGTGTTCCGGTGAAAGTTGTGCGGTGGGGCGGGGGTTTGACCGTCAATGCGCTGCGACGTGGACAATCAAATCGAACATGCATTGTTAGTTTGATGAAACACGTTGCTGCTTGACTTCGTTTGCCTCGTTGCCACCTACATTCGTCTGATGGAAAAACGAAAAGCCTCTACCAAGGTACAGACATCACAGACTATGGGGTTCTTGGCTTGGCCCCGTGCCATACCAGCAAGACAGAATGCTGAGGCTCAGTTTTGGTAATTTGGGGCCGCCGGCCCGGCCTGATACCTAAAGCCCCCTAAAATGTTATGAGGCGCCCGCTACGCAAAACATTGTTTAAAGTCCCTTTGCATCAGGGCTCCGGGCCTCCTGACGACTGCAAATATGCATTGAAGACACTAATCACCTCATCTTGATGAAAACCTCGGGGCTCAACCTTTTTTTAACACAATTCACTGAAAATATGCATTGAAAACGTCCATCACCTCCTCATCACACCACCTTCGGGGCTCAACCTTTTTTGGCCTGGCGTCCCTCCGGCCCCTGTGCCGCGTTCCTGTTGTGCTTTGTGGTGGTGCTGGTTGTTGTCTTTGCTGTCTTCGCTGTAGTCGTTCTTGTTGTTGTTGCTGTGGCTGTTGCCTGCTGCTGTTATCCTTGTTTGCTATTGATGCTGGTTGTTGTTGTTGCTGCTGCTGTTGTTGTTGTTGCTGTGCTTTGCTGTCCGAAAAGCAGCAACGTACGTAAAAGTGTTCGCAACAGTCCCACCAAGAGAAAAAGAACAAGCCCTGAAACTTGAAAAGACACACAACTGCAAGAAAAGACAAAAAACTGCAACTGTACTAGAGTATATATAGTGTATATATATATACTATGTATAGAGTGTCTATATATATATACTATGTATAGAGTGTCTATATATATATATATGTAGTATATGTAAATATATATATATGTAGTATATGTATATATACGTAGCGTGTATATATATATATATGTATGTAGTATATATATATATATGTAGTATATATATGTAGTATATATATATGTAGTATATATATGTGTGTGTAGTATATATATGTATGTAATAGATATGTAGTGTATATATATATATGTAGTATATATATATGTAGTATATATATATATGTGTAGTACATATGTATATGTAGTATATATGTATATGTAGTATGTATGTATATGTAGTATGTATATATATGTATATCTGTAGTATATATATATGTATGTGTGTGTAGTGTAAATACATATATATGTATGTAGTATGTATATATATATATATGTAGTATGTATAGAGTTTTTATATAGAGTGTGTGTATATATATATATACACTTATATTCACTTATATATATATATGTGTATGCATATACACTTATATTTATAAATATATATGTATACATACGCTCTACATATATACAGTATATTTATAGTATACATATATATTTATATATATAGTGTATACACATATATACATATATATGTATATATATATACATATACATATATATATATACATATATATATTGTATTTATATAGAGTATTTATATATACTTTATATAGAGCATATACGTATATTTAGAGGTTACAGAAGTAGTGGAGGAGGGTGGGGCATCCATCCCATTGGGGGGGGTTCCTGGTGGCCAGAGGACGGGATCATACATATAGTGTGTGTATATATATATATCATTACATATTTTATATTATTATATTGCACATAATAGGGGATATAATATGATATAATTTAGGAACATCGGATGGAATTGGTGTCTTTAGATTCTTCAAGGAGCCTTAAGATCTCGGATTGGATTTTGGAGCTCCAGTGAGTCAGGTTTCACAGTTTGGAGAATCGCAAAAGGCCACAGGGTGAGGACCCTGCACCTTTCTGAACCGATCTGGGAGCAAGGATCTCCCCATTGAAATTGAATTGCTCAAAACCCGATTCTAATATAGGTCCATCTTTCATCATCCAACTCAGTCATAGAATACCTTTCCGTTGCAGGTCCCAACCTTCTCCAATACCTGATTCAAAATCCCCTTAAAACTTCAACCAGAAAGGCCGCTTAACCAGCCGATTCTGCCCAGCTGATGGGTGTCAGTTCAACTCCTTAAACTTGCCCAGGAACGCAGGGGCTTCCACTCATCCAACGGTTTCTTAAATGTCCGATCACCCAGCGGGCCTCGCAACATGTAGGGGGACCCCAACTTCGGGGTGAAGAAAAAAGAGATATGCAAGAGATATCCAAGATACCCTCTGGTAATCTAACATAGCTATTGAAAAATTGCCATTTATAGTGGATTTACCCATTAAAAATGGTGATTTTCCATAGTTGTGTTAAATTACCAGAAGGTATCCTGGGCATTCATTTTTACAAGTCATAAGATTTCATGAGGTGTCCTTCAATATCTTCAATGTTGAGAAAACCCCATCTTAATTCTTTGATATTGCTTAATCAAAGCCGACCCTCCCGTTGGTTGGAGGTTTGGTTTGAACCCATCCCAAACAAAGTCACTTGGAAAACAACAAATATTTGAAACCGACCACCATAGACCACGGGCATCCAACCCAAACCCAGATTTTGATCAGGGTTCAGATAAGGGGGGAGGAGTTGTGCAGATGGTTTTGGTAGATACAAAGCGGAATGCATAGGGTGCACAACTACAAAATGCAGTGCATGTTGCTTTTTTTGCAGCTACAAAATGAAGAACATAACTCTTTCTGGCTCGGAAAATAATTCAAAACCAGTACTACAAAATCCAATGCATCTGAAGTTAAAAAATAGCTGAACGTCGGAATTGCTAACATGATTTTTCCCAATGACATTTTGTAGTTGGGTCTTTGCCATCCAAAGTTCCGACCAACATAAATTTGGAGAACATTTTGTAGTTGTCAATGATTGAATTTAGTTGGATCAAGTGTTGACCCCGTGCAGTTTGTTAGATGGCATTCTGCAGTTTCATGATCTGTTTGTGTCCATGTACATGTCACGCACTGTTTCCTTTTTTCCACCTCTTCTCACCTCTTCAAATGCAAAATGCAAATGAGATTTTATGTTGGATGCTTCAACTATTCAACTTGTACAACTACAAAATGCTAATGAGATTTGATGTTGGATGCTTCAACTAACTCAACATATACAACTACAAAATGAAAATGATGAAAATTATTCCAAATACAAAATAGGGGGCACAACCTCTCCTGTTTGTACAAAAAATCCTGGCTGGCAATCTGTACTGTAGCCCAAGTCCTCCCCATTTCGTAGCTGAAATTTGAAGGTGGATAGATTTTGGGTAATCGAACTTGGCTGGAATGTCCAGATGAATAAAGTTTTGTTAACCCATCATCTAACATGTAGGCCATGAAATTGCCATGTTTCTTGGTGAAATCTCCATATTTTTGTTGTTTCATTGATCCCATGTTCACCAATCACTATCATTCTTAAAACAACAAAATCAGCATTCTTGTTGCTTAAATCCCTTGGCTGGTAAGCCTCCAATTTGTGCTTCATTTGACCACGTTTGCTGGTGACCAACCCGTAACATCACCCTGGTCATTGCTTCAGGTCCGTTATTGCTTACATTCCTTGGCCTCCTTGGCGTATCTTCCTTCGTATCCCAACACTGCTTGTGAGTAGATCACAATTCCTGGTTGGTGGTTTCAACCCCTCTGAAAAATACTAGTCAATTGGGAGAATTATTGCCAATATATGGAAAGTCATAAAATTCATGTTCCAAACCACCAACCAGATTCTTGTTGATGAAATTCCTCCACTTTAGCCGCTGTTTCCGATGTCTGGTTGGTGAAATCTCCATATTTGTTTTCCCATCTTCCAACCTTTTGGTGGCCTAAACTTACACCACGGTCATCGACAAAAAATCACAAAATTTCTGTTGGTCAAATCCCATATTTTGCCTTGTGGAAAGTTTGATTTGCTTACCCTCTGGTAATTTAACATAGCTATTGAAAATGACCATTTATAATGAGTTTTCCCATTTAAAATTGTGATTTTCCATAGCTATGTTAGTTTACCAGAGGGTACCCCCAAAAGACAAGACATACCATCTGGTTATTTCACATAGCCACGGTATAGATGGCTATAGAAATAGTGAGTGTTCCCATTAAATAACCAGATGGTATACCCCATTGAGTCCCCAAATGGTCTGTATTTCCCATTGGGAAAGTGTTCACCAAATCACCCAGGAAAGAAATCTGATTGGAAAATCCACCATTAGTTGATATTCCCAGCTATAAATATCTCCATTTCTATACAGGATGGTGCCTCCCAGTTATAAGTTGGTTTATAAACCCCATTGACTAGTTCATTATATCTACCATAGACCATAGAATTCCAGTTATAAGTTGGTTTATAAACCCCATTAACTAGTTTGTTAAACCATAAACCATAGAATTCAGCCACTCTCTTTAGGCAGCTGAACGCAACGTTCCCCCCCCCCCCGGGGGTCCCATCCAAGGGCGGAGTTCCCACACCAAGGCGCCAAAGATGGCAGCCAGGGCGGCCCGGCCCATGCGTTCCGGCTGCGCCGCGTGGTACTCGAAGACGCCGCTCGGGGAGGTGAGGGGCTCCAGGGGATCGTGGTAGTCCTGGAAACACGAACAGGGATATGGGTGGTTAACATGATGTTCATGGATGTTCAGGGGATAATCATAGTTAATGGATGGTTGACTGTAGTTAATGGTTAACTATAGTTGATGGATGTTAATAATGGCTAGTCATCACGAATTGGAAAATAACATCATAATCATGATTCATGAGATGGTTATTCATGGGCCGCGAAGAATAGCCACAGCGTTGTTACCTATGAAAGGACTACGGAGACAAGTCCTGGCAGAGTTTTCTCGGGAAAATTGAGATAGTTGGGATAATCATTGGGATATGTAGGACTTACTGCATACTTGGCTTGGCTAATAATGGTTAAAGAATGGATATATAATGATTAATAATGGCTAATGATGTTTTTTCAAAAAAGTTTTAATCATGGTTCATCATGGATTATTTAATGGTAACTTAAGGAGGATCTAACGATAGTTAATGGATTTCAATGGATGCTACTGGGTACTTGGATGATCATCCCACGGTACTGGTGAATCACCCTGGCTGTTGTAAGTAAGTCCCTTTTTTGTGGGTTATATACCACATATATCCACATATAATATTGTTACTAACCGGTCATTAGGTCATTAAGTGGGGTGACCCGACCCAAGTGGTGAATCTCTCGAGATTTTGGGATAGACCTTCCCAGACCTTCATCGATTCAACATCAGATTCTTAGAAAATGTGGATCAATTTTTGGGAAAAATTAACATAGCCATGGTATAGATGGCCCATAGAAATAGATGGTTTACCGAACTTCAAAATGGATGGATTTTCCATGGCTATGATAGTCATAACCAGATGGTCCCCAATTTATGGTCATGGGATTTAGTGGAAGATTCAACCGACAAATGGTATTTGGGTTTGTCCAAAAATGGTGGATTGCTCCAAATATGTTGCCAATTTTGAGGGGAGAATGATGATAGTAAATGGGATGTTGGAATACCATGGTTTAAACACACCCATTTGCACCATATTTGCACCTTCCAAAACGGAAAGTCTTCTCATTTGTTGGTCAAAATGCCTTTGGCAGGGACACGAGCTTGGAAAGTGAAACGGAATCATATACCCTCATCATAATCATCATGATACCCCTTTTTGCTGTACTTTGTTGGACAAGTTCATATCCATTTTTTGTTCATCAAAAGTTGGACCATGTCATATCAGTAGCCATGTTTGTTGAATACTGAATTTCGCTTAACATGTCAATGTAATCTATCCCTAGTGACATGAACTCCTCTGCTGGAGTCACATAAGCCAATTGAATGCCACCTCATGGATGGCTGGACGATGTGCTCTGTTGTAAACAATCCAAAGATATATGGGGTTGATTCAAATAGGCTTTTAATGGGCTTGATCCATCTAGAGATACAGTCTCTAAATACTATCAGTAGGGGCGTTAAATGTGAAAATATGGGGATATAGCTGACAAATGTTGACAAGTTATCATGGCTGGTTGATGATTATAATATTATAATCTGGTGGATAGGACTCTCATATGTAATTATATATTATAATCTGGTGGATAGGACTCTCATGTGTATTATATGGATCATGAACGGAACAGGGAGAGAAACATACTATACTCACCAGTACAGCGATGGAAAATGAGCATAGAACTAATCAACCTGAAAATAATCAAAATTTCTAGTGGCAACGAATCTTCCAAGCCAGTATTTGGCAGGGTCTATGTCAATCTTGGAGATTGTAATCATCAAATCATCAGTGGCTGATTTTCTATGAGGTCGGCTGATCTGCTACAGCTTGCAGGTTGTGGGCCTGCACAAATCGCATGGCTTCAGAACGTTTTTCAAGGTTCCCAACACCCAACGCAATTGGAATACTAGGTCACTAGGTAGATACCAAGGTAAAGAAATTACCAATGTTCCCCTTTTCTGGCTACCATGACCTATAATGGGTTGGCGCAACCCTGTTTGTTTTTATGACACGGCCAGGGTCGGCAATTGAAAACCCTGCCAGTAAATATGATCCGTTCATGAACCACCAAACAGATCATTGGCATTGTCAATTCTTATGGGTAGCGCATGCTAGTCCATTTGATCAACTTAAGATCCGTAGTGTTTATGATGTTTAAGCAATCTCCACCATCCATGACTTAACACCTTGCGCCATTCCGCGTGTGACTCCATACTAGCAATTGTACAAATGGGTAGTACAACTTACAACCCCTTGGCTTTAAGTAGGGTCTTGCTATTGTCCATGTAGTACAAATTTAACTGTGTCAAAATAGAGTACAGTATATCGTTATATATCACTATAACATGGGCTTCTCTGAAAACAGGGTAGCCCATTCATCCCCATTCCATCCATTGCTTCAGAATAAAATGGCCATTTTAGGCCATTTTAGGGATCCCATGTTAGGAGAAACCACCATCCCAGCTGAGATCCCCTGCGGAATGGAAGCCTGACAATCCAGAGGCGTTGTCCGAATGCCAAGCTGACGCAGATTTTGACTTTCGTAAACTTTCGTAAGTCAGTATCTTTGATATACAGATGCACAAAAGCTTCTGATTTCAAGCGAACTTCCAGATTTCGTTATTCATAGTTTGTTTCAAGCCGCGGATACACCGTGTTGTGGCTATTGCAGAATGGAAACGGAGATAAATCACTAAAAATTAGGAGTAACAAAATGTTGGTCCCGCAAAAGATAGCGCTTAGCAGTTCAATATCAATTGTGAACTACCTGGATACTGGCCATTGACAATCTAGGTACCACTTGGTGGTATCAAGAGGGCCAAAAAATAGTTCGATAACTGCCAGGCTCGACCGCACAAAGGCGCCAGGCTGCACCCTGTTGCCACCCGGATTTTGCCATGAAACATGGCCCTGGGCTTCATCCCATTTTGGTGGTACCAAAATACGCTAAATCTGATCATCAGCTCATGATTTTTATTGATGTTTCCCAAACAAGTTGACCTTAAGATCATTAAGGGGAAAGTATCCGTTGTTGTTGTTTTTTCGACCGCATCTCCAGACCCACAAGTTTCGGCCAAGCGGCATGGCCAGAATCACCGCCAGGGCCATCTCTCCGGGGTTTCCAGCTCCCACAAAGACCAGCAGAGTGGCTCGGTTGGCGCCCTGCAAACGGGGAACCCCTGGAACCTCCCCAAGTGGTGATGGTTGTGACACAGTCGGCCGTACCATTTTCGTGTTTTTCGTGTAGGTCCAAACTCGTCCCGTGTTCTCCTGGTCTGAGTGTTGGATAGAGATAAAGGACGATAAAAGTATATAATAAAAGTCATTGATTACCTGATTACCTGGAGGCTAGAGTCTATTTTGTTTGGGGGTTAACTTGCCCATTTTCTGGGGATCAGTTTGGACCTACACACAATTATATAAGCTCAATTGATGGGACCTGCATTCTGGGAAGCTTGCCAGAACCTGCCCAAAGTACCAAGTTTTTCTTCTGGTAGTATGGGAAAGTCACAATATGAGTTATGAATGGGCTGGAAAATCAGTGGAAGACCTGCAACCTTCATCAAATTTCATCCAATCCATCCCAAAAACTAGGGCAACCAACAAATTTCAAACCAACAACGACCGACTTAGCGGATCTTTTTCGGGGATCTTGGTATGCCCATCTTTATACGCACCCATCACAGCGAACGCGTTTGGACCTGCAGAATCAGATCGCTGCCCAGAGCATACAAGGCCTTGGCGATAGATCACCAGCAATTTCACTGGTGGGGACATCCCCAGAATTCGGTGCCGGCACCCATAGAAAACATCATCTTATCCTTCCTCTTGAAGAAATGCATTGAGACGACAAAATTGATGGACCCCCATAGGTTTTCCTATCCTTTTTTCCCATGGGAATGGTAGAAGACAGAAGAATATCTACGAAGGAAAGTTGCAGAAGTGTAGGTCCCATAATTGGCGGTTCCTTTTTACAAAAATATGAGGTCCCCAAAACGATAGAGAAAAATGCCATGGATGTTATAGATGTTGTAGATGCTAAAGATAGGATAGACAGGTACATGAGGGGATGTAAGGGAAACATCACAATATGTATATATATATATACATGTTTTGTTTTCAAGATGTTACATATATATATATATATTGTATATATATTTAATTAGATGAATAGGTGATGTTTTCCCCCAGGATTTCCCAGATCTTCTCCTCTTACACTAGGGGTCGTCCCCAACACCAGCCGCCCGCGACCGGCCGTGGCACATCAAATTCCGCCTTCGCATCAGCCGGCAAAGTGGGCCAATCATGGACCACGCAGGGTTTCCTCGATGGTTGGGCCATTGTGGGGCAGCACTACCCGGAATTCAACATAGCGAACTGCAAAATCACGAATTGTAAGAGGTAAATCGTCTGAAAATGATCCATTTTCGCTATGTTAGATGTCAGAGGGTAACCATTTTCAAACACCCAAATGGTCAAAGTTTACCAAGAATGATCATCCAATGCCCGGCGTCCCAATCTTGGCGGCCGAATTCTTCACTTGCGCAGCTGCGATCTTGGCGCTGACTCCTGGTGGGCCGCACAAGCTGCGAAACGATGGCTGTTCAACAACATGTTTCAACCAAAATGCTGATTTGCCTGGCCTTTGAATAGGAAGTCCACAAACAAATGTCCAATGCATCCAAATATATCCAAATAATTCCAAATATGCATATGTATGCATATGTTGTACGCACGCATACAAAATCAAAACATCTCTGCGCACGTTTGTTTACAATCGTTTATTCACATCCATTGAAGGAAGTGAACGAGGCAGAGCACAAATACTAATATACATGATGAGAACATGGCTTTAGATTTCATATGTTGGTTTGATTTGTTTGTGTTGGTCTTCATTTTTAGCCTTCATTTTTACTTCAATAATCCTCATGGCCTGCTCAGGCCTCCAAGTTTCTGCATCAAGTTGCCACTGCGAACCGAGAAATTACTTGCACTTTGTTCCACTTTGCCACCAAAACTTCCCCCCAGGAACGGTTCAGAACGGTTCTGAACTACTGTGGGGGTGTTTACGCATGGTGTTTGGGCACGTTTGGACCAGCTTTTGGGAGTTGTTTGTGTGTTTTATTGTTGTCTTAAATGATTTTTGCGGCTTCAATCCACCTGGGAAGGACCTGAAGAGGAAGGACTCTACAACACAAAAAAAAAACGGCTGTGAAATCGCAGCTGGGGATTGACCTTTCCAAGGCTTTGTGCAGCAACAATGGCCTCCTAGCTTATGTCAATGCGAGGGAGTTGGACACACTTGACATTGAAGCTGCCAAGCTCCTCGCACCGTGTCAAACGCTCCCCCCTTATTTACATTGCTGTACTTGGCAGTTTTCGATGATTTTCGCATATCATATCAATTGAACAACTTATTGAGTAAATTAAATTGTGATTGTTATGTTTACTTTTATCAATATTCGACTTCTCTTTTACGACTTACACAGTGTGAGACGTTTTTCTTTGCTGCGACTTTTTTTTATATAGAAACCGCCCTTCCCTTTCATTAATAACTTCAAAGCTTTAAGACCACGTTTCCAACTTAAATTTTGATATTGAAAAAACATGTGCCAAAACACAGCCCCAAGACATCTGCCAGGAAACCGTTCTGAACCGTTCTTTGTAGAAAGTACCAAAAAACGCAAATAGTTCAGAACCGTTCTGAACCGTTCTGAACCGTTCTTTGAGGGGTGAAGTTTTCATCAGAGAACCGTTCTGAACCGTTCTTTGTGCATCCCAAAGTAGTGTTTTTCTGTATTTATTTGAACAGTATTTTTCATCTTGTTTTCTTTTACGGATACCTGATATCTTAATCATTCATCATATGAATTAAAACATCATTGCGTGTTGAATCATTTCGCTTCATTTTCAACGCATATCATTTTATACTACTTTAGTATCATTTCATCATACCACATCTTATCACCATGTATCGCATCAAATATTCTCATCATGACAACATCAAATCACGGAGCCCTTTCTTCCACGTTTCCACGCTATGGTAATTCCACAGTATATAGGCATAGACACAGAGACACAAATCGTACCGAAATAACATACCATAACATTCCACACGGGGTCATGCAATGTCAATTTGCATCATGTCATAAGTCGTATAGGTCAAGTCATACCATCACATCATATGAATCATATCGCAACATATCATGTCCAAACTCAACAAATGCCTAAACTTCAAACTTGTTTTAAAGCTTCCTATTGGACTAATCCTGCCGCGCTCTTAATTCCAACTGTACGCAGCTGGCTTTTCAAAAAGGGCATTGCTGCTCCTGGACATTTCGGCAGTTTGGGAAGTTTCCACGAAGGTAGGGTGAAAATTTTACTGGGAAATTGAATATCAACAACAGTTTTGACATCAATCTGGCCTTCAATCAGGGCTATGTATGGTGATATGTATGGGGCTGTGTTTTGGAGAAAGAATCTCTATACGGAAATCTTGACAGAAACAGACATTTAAACAGGCTAACGATTGATATAACACAGAAGTCACAAATTGCAAAATCAAAACGAGCGTGAAGACATGACACGACAAATATAATCTGTCAACATGAATTATTCGACCTATATAAAATACTTTTATATTTAATTTCCACTTGAACTGTATAGGCGTTGGGCGCTCCCAAAGAAAGCTTACAATATGGGGCCTCAACACGTCCGATCTGGGATGGAGTGCCTATACAAAAAGATCGAAACAACATCTAAGATTCTGAGATGTAAACTTTTGCAAAAAGAATACAAGACATCACAAGTCTAGTACACGTTCACCAACGTCAGAAAGCAAGTTGTGTAAAACAGGCAAGGAGCTATCAGTGTCGCACCCTGTGCTGAGGGACGCTGGAGGAAATCATGTCGAGAGGAGTATGCTAGCAGCCAAACCTTGTCGACAAACGCTACGCTAAAGAAACGCAAGGCTCCCATAGACTCCCATCCGACTCAACCCTTCGAGTCCCAACGCAGCAGTTTCTAAATTCCAATACTCGAGGCTTCAACCTTCAAATCCTCCCCCTACTCACATAACCCTTTTTTCAAACTGAGGCGCACAACCTTCCAAATATCCCAAGCTGCACTGGGCACACAACGTAGCGCTGAAATGCTCTTATGGGTCAGCTGATGCCCGTGTCGGAAGGCTTCTGATCTGAGAGGCAATAGCGGAAGTCTCGGAATCATTCGCGCTGTGGCGGAGATCGAGAATGCGGATCATAGGAATGGCAAGGATTGCTGCGCAGGATTCTGTGCACAGCGCAGTTGGGCACATCTTCTCTCATGCTGATTCGATTTGGTTTCAATGGAAAACAGAATAAATGGCAAGGATTCCTGCGAACGTGCAGGGCACGTTGGACTGCACATGGCAACCACAGGCAGTCACAGGCGCATCCTCTTTCATGCCGTATTGGTTTGATTTCGATGAACCTGCATTGCGGACCAAGGTGAATGATCAAACGCAGGGCTGAAGGCCAATGCTGCTAAGCACATACATTTTGAAACAAGACTATGTGTTTCTTGAAAGATATAAACTCGACAAAAGTTCAATATGTCGCAGTTGTCTGTGTCGGGAAAGAAAACAATATGAATATGCAGGAGCACCTGTAATTCTTAAAAACTCTCACTGCTGACATCATCTACACCTCCTGCTGATCCCCTGTCCGAAGCCAAATCTGGAATAAACAAACAGGCGCGCTTTAGCGGGTCCAGGGTTGCCTCCCTGGTTTTTCGCTTTCCGGTGCATACTTGCGCTTATCCGGCCCCTGGAAACACAACATGAAAGATTCTGGCTCTGGCAGCCGCTGAGTCTGAGGAAAGTGCGAAAAAGTTCAACGTCGCTTGTGGAAGATCTCTCAGTTGCCAACTTGTCCCTCCAGGACAAAGAAAAAGGTGCGGTAGCTTTTCCAGACACTATCCAGAGTTGATGGACTACATTGACCATTTTGGACTCCGAAATCTGCCCTCTTTCCTGCAACAATCCTCTACCACGCAGATCTATGAGGCCTTTTGCGTCTGGTAGCATGCCCTTGTGGTGAGATGTGGAACTTAGCTACAAATCATGATGGTGATTCCTAGTGTCCACCATCCAACTCTTGAAGTCTGCATTGTTCAGCCCCAGATGGGCAAACTGCGCGATGCTTATTGAGGAACGGCTAATATTGACGATGTCATGCAAATTTTCCCAAGAATCAACAAAGACCCAACCCCGTCCGTGAGGGACTTAAAGCCTTGCCGATCTCTATATTTCTGGAATTATCATCCAAACCCAAACGTTGATGCCCCAGCCACTGCATCGTGCAGAGCACCAGCACAGGGCTTGAGATTGAAGTATCAGGCAGCCTGTCCCTGAAGCCTTATCGCGAAACCGACGCTACATGTAGAATTGGTCACTGAAGCGCGCGGGTTGCAAGCTGAATACGCAACCACCATGCAAGTGTTGCAAGCTCCACATGCTGTCTGCATTTTTTGGCCTAAAGGTGACAAGCTTGAAGTGGTTCTAATTCTGATAAGCTTTTGCATAGGTGCTCCCCAGCCCCTATATACAAGGGTGGGTTTTTGGAAGTCATGGCCATGAAGCAAAGTGGACACGGCACACATCATATTAAACACTTCACATGGTTGAACGTTCCCCATATCTCACCACAAGGGACGGAGTTTGCTTTTGGAGAACAAACAGCGAAGTGGGTGTCTCTTCGTTTGCAACTGATGGTTTTGCATCTCTGCACATGGGTTTGCCTTAAGTACGCCATTTGCAGCGGTCCTTCCGCAAAAACGTTCTGACGGAAATTTGCTGGCAGAATGTATCACGACGGAAAATGTGTCATTGGATGTTGAAACGATTTAACACTTGGGGGGGCAATCTGAAACAAGTCAGCAGCTCACAGTTAACAAGTGTTACTGGCAAACAATGAACCGTGAGCCCATGTTGACAGCGTTTTGATGGTCTAATGAGATCATTTGACCTCACTCAGGTGATGACTGCGTCATCTGCTGGCGGTTCAATTTGCTTTTCTCATTCCAGCTTCTCGCTGCGGCTGTTAGTTCGGCAAAGCAGACCCAAACGATCATCGTCATCCTATGCCACTTCGAGAAGACAACGTCCGAAGCCAGCTATGGCAGCTATGGGTATACTTCAATTTTTGGGGTACACATGCGTGGGTTTACAACAATATCCAATTTGCATGGCTTGGAAACCGTAGTGTTGGCTCCCTCCCTGGCTGGCACAGCCGCTTCGGCAAGTGGGGGGTGGGGGAATCTGTGTGAGAGAGCTGCAGGCGCGCGATTGGGCAATCGCACGCAATAGCTGCACTAGGCGCCCAGGGGGAGGCGCACGAAAGCTAAGGTTTCTAAGGTTCGTAACCTGCAGGTTTCCAAAGAGCAAAGCCCCAACCCCGACACCTCAAACTTTGCTTGATATGTGCTTGGGCGCATACATCTTGGCTTGTTCTGTACAGCCCTTGAGATGAATGCCAGTCTTTGCAAATCTCTCGGAATATGGCTGGGTGACAGTAGGGTAAGGCATTTTACTCAGTAAATTTCTCTTTCACGGGCGGAAGTCAGACATTGTCTCCATTTCCGGCTGCGACGATTTCTACCGCATACCTTCTGGAATGTTGTGGGCTTGGAAATATCATGGCTGCATAAGAGTATATACAAGAAATCTATAGAAATCTAAGGCGCAGCCTCTGGAGCTTGATGTGCTTCCCGCAAACACTGCAATGCGTGCCTGGTGGCAAAATGGTCCTGTCAATTGCAGTCTGGCACAATCTCCATCCTATAGCTTCAATGAGAGCAATGGCATCATAATCACGCTTCCGTTGCCAAGGAAGCACTCAAGACTTCCAAGGCAGGTTTAAGGGAACCAAGCGAAGCTCACCTCTTTGGCAAATCTTTCTGGTGGAGCATCCGTGTTCAAGGACTGCGTTCCGTACGATCGTTGTGAAGCACACCCCCTTGTGACAATAATATCTTTCCCTGCAAGTCCTAAGGCCATACTGAATGAGTCCTTAGGAAAAGTGGGACAAAAAGAGGTCCTCGCTTCCTTGCAATTCCTAAGGCCGTACTAAATGAGTCCTTAGGAAAAGTGGGACAAAAAGGGATCCTTGCTTCCCTGCAAGTCCTAAGGCCGTACTAAATGAGTCCTTAAGCCTTAAGAAAAGTAGGACAAAAAGGCTCCTCACCAACAAAACATGGCAATGCCGAGTGTTTACGGCCGAGGGCTGAATGGCTGGCTAAATTTGGTTTAAGTTTAAGTCGGCAGCGTGAAAACGCGTGAAGGTTGTCAGAAATTCATTATCCGTGTTTGACGCACAATTCACTTGATCAATGCGCGTCCACTTGCAGCCATTGCTTGTTGAGCACTGCCAACCTTACACACTGACGGAACCACACAAAGTCTGCTTCTGGCAAGGGGTTCGTCGCTTGCGGGGCGCAAAACCGGGCGAAAACCATCAGAAACTCATTTCCTTCCTGGCATTCCATCATTTCTGTTTCCAAAATGAAGCCTCAACAGCGGCTTGCTTGTTCTCATGTAGGCCAGCCGCAAGCAGAATCCCGTCGCATCTCCTACATCCGGCATTTCAGGCAACATCCACCAAGGCCCACTACATGGCCGTATGGCCTGCCTGGCAGGCCTGGCCATCATCGGAACCTAGTGGCACATGCAGCATCTGATCACTTCGTCATTGGACAAACTATGTGACACACGGGCAACTTGATCTTATTTGCCTGAGAAAAAAACGTTGGTTGGGCTACCTTCTGTCACACGTGGGTCCTGCATGCGGCTGCAGAAAAAAAAGCAGCCTCGTTAGTGATGGAAAATGGCCACCTGCATTAGACCCGAACAAAGCCAACATATCGGAGCGAACGCAACGCAGTGCTGAGTCATCGAAGTTAACGCAGGCAGCTGCGAACTGGGGGTGAATGCGCGCAGCGGAGGTGAGCACTGCAAAATCCATGGTTTCACCTATCTTCAGTTCAAATGCGGCAGATTCAAGACAAATCAACATCAATGTCGCGCAGAAGAGATTTCTCGTCTGGCACATTGTGCCACACCGTACATATGGGATGATAACTGCTGCTTTGAAAGCCGAACGAAAGCAGACACGATTCCGCCACCGTCCTGGCCATTGCTGTCCCTTGAAACTCAACAAGAGTCTCGACTCATCTGGGTGCAAAAGGGTCGAGTCACACACAGATTGCTAAAGAACGATGTGGAAGTCAAGAGCCCTAACAGAATGCCCCCATACAAGAGCCCAAGCCCGGCTACACCTGGGGGGGGCTTCAAGGTCTTCAAACCACGGGGCGTGAAATTTATGCATGGGGCAATTCTCAATCACTGCTGGCCAGCGAAACCTCTGGAAAGGATCGAGATGGAATTTGTCTTGGAATTGGTCGTTTGGACATGTCAACTTGCAAACTCGCTGCAGTGACACGACACATGGGCAACTTGATCTTATTTGCCGGGAAAAAAAAACGTTGGTTGGGCTACCTTCTGTCACACGTGGGTCCTGCATGCGGCTGCAAAAAAAACAACTGCAGCCTCGTTAGTGATGGAAAATGGCCACCTGCATTAGACCCGAACAAAGCCAACATATCGGAGCGAACGCAACGCAGTGCTGAGTCATCGAAGTTAACGCAGGCAGCTGCGAACTGGGGGTGAATGCGCGCAGCGGAGGTGAGCACTGCAAAATCCATGGTTTCACCTATCTTCAGTTCAAATGCGGCAGATTCAAGACAAATCAACATCAATGTCGCGCAGAAGAGATTTCTCGTCTGGCACATTGTGCCACACCGTACATATGGGATGATAACTGCTGCTTTGAAAGCCGAACGAAAGCAGACACGATTCCGCCACCGTCCTGGCCATTGCTGTCCCTTGAAACTCAACAAGAGTCTCGACTCATCTGGGTGCAAAAGGGTCGAGTCACACACAGGTTGCTGAAGAACGATGTGGAAGTCAAGAGCCCTAACAGAATGCCCCCATACAAGAGCCCAAGCCCGGCTACACCTGGGGGGCTTCAAGGTCCTCAAACCACGGGGCGTGGAATTTATGCATGGGGCAATTCTCAATCACTGCTGGCCAGCGAAACCTCTGGAAAGGATCGAGATGGAATTTGTCTTGGAATTGGTCTTTTGGACATGTCAACTTGCAAACTCGCTAGGGAATCTCACGGAAGGTGCCATCGAACAGCACCTCCTCCAATAACAATGGATTGCGGCGCTTGATTTGCAATCTCTGCATCAACATTCCAGCTGCTAGTGGTTCAGCTGCTAGAGGTAGGATGTGTTCAACCACCGGCGCTCTAGGCTCTCCATTGAAACAAACTGATGTCGCTTCATCTGCATCAAACACGTCTCACTTCTGGAGCCAAAGCCTGCTGATCCAATGGGATGTGAGCCGGTTGTTACATGTTAAAACTCACACAGGTACGGTTTACATATTTTTTGGAGGTGCATCCCAGTCAGTGGGCAATAAATGGTAATAACACATGCTAATCATATGATACCTCAGTTACATATGGCATATCCCCAGTCATATACTGCATGGGCAAAAAAAATGCCATTTACAATGAATGGGATGCACATCCAAGTGGGGCATCAAATTTACTAAACAGGGGAATGTAGAAAGCCCTTGTTTTTTTTTCGGAGGATCCATAGGCCACCCATATCCATGCTGTCCATACCCATGTTTGAGACATACAAAGATGCAAATATTATATAGATTTATGTAATATGGGCGTGTGTGTGTGTGTGTGCGTGCGTGCGTGCGTGCGTGCGTGTGTGGGGGTGTGTGTGTGTGTGTGTGTGTGTGTGTGTGTGTGTGTGCGTGCGTGCGTGCGTGCGTGTGTGTGTGTGTGCAAATGGCAATGTTCAAACAGGGAAAATGTTCCAACTCGTGGATTTAGGGGTCTATAAACCGTAATTGTCAGACAAACCCATATCTCAATATCCTGGTTGTTTAATCGAGTTTTCGAAATAATGGATGATGATAATCCCAAATAACATCAAATAACCAAGTACAGCTTGAAAAAACTATCCACCAAAATCCGATTTTTTGCATCTTACCAATTTAACCATCTCAGGTGAACTACCACTGAACTCCTGAAGTCTGCACAATGTGGATGCTGGAGAATTCCGCTGCGGCCTGGGAGAAAAGATGGATTGAACCAACGAACGCAATGGTCTAAGCAACAAATATATAGTGATTTAACCACCAAGAATTGTGACTAAACCAGATTAAACCAGGAAAAGCGGGGAGGCCACCAACAAAAGCCCAACATCAATCATTTTCTTGGATCGAATTTCGCCCCAATCACCAGGGTTATGTGCCAGACGGGGTTATCCAGGTGCAACTGTCTCCAACCTCACAACCAGGAACAAACACAAATCACAAATGTTCATCTTATACTTGAAAGTTCGTAATTTTTCGGAAAGCAGCACCTCGATTCGTGTGCTCTTTACCTCTCAATATGGATCTGTGTGCCCAGCACATTCGTTGGACCATGCCACCTTGCCATCATCTCAGTTGGGGATGTGTTTCAGCAGAAAAATCCCCAACCACTGGGTTTGATGGGAAAAAAAACGACCGTGGCAAAACGCGGTGAAACCTGCAGCTAGGTGTCAGCGTGGCGATGCCAGGCTTTCGGAGCTAGCTGCGCGCTTTTTCTAGAGGGTTCAGAAAGCAACGTTAGAGAGTGACGGCTGGGCCTGGCAAGTCCCAACAAGTTGGCCTCAAGACGACCTCAACATGGCTCAAAACGGCCAACACAAACGGCTCAGCATCGGCCATCTTGGCATGGAAGGGCCTTAACTTAGGCCCAACATTGGCCAAGAATGGCTCGTGGGCCCAAGAAGCTCATCGGCATAGCGCATCGCCCGAGATGGCCACCAACATGGCCCAAGTTGACCCCCAAAAGTCTCAGCATCATCTATCTTGGCTTCCAACTGCGCTGCGATAGAAAACCCTGTGTTGTACAGGGGGCGCCCGATTATCTCCACAAGCCCCAAGCCCAACATGGGCCCAACTTGGCCCCAACTTAGCCCCAACACGGCCCCAACATGTCCAAGACTGCTTCAACAAGCCTCAACATGGCCCATCTTGGCATCAACATGGGCTGTGGCAGAAAATGCTGTGTTTCACAGTTTTTTGAACAGCCCCTAGCCACCTTGCGCCCAGCTGGCCCAACATACTAAGTAGCCTCGACATGGCTCCCAGATGCCTCCACATCGCCCTACGTGCCCTCAACTTGGCCCACACATTGCCTCAACATAGCCCACCACGGCCTCCACATAGCCCATGACCTCAATATGGCCCCATCAGGGCCCCAACCTGGCCCCAACATGGCCCCAATCTGCCCCCAACATGCCCTTCATGGTTTAACCCCCATATCTCATGAACTTCCCATCCTTTCCATCCCAAAAAAAAGCCCCACCTTGGGCAGAGGCGTCTTCTTCAGCAGCGTCTCAGCATCAAGTTCCAGTGTTCCATCCTCCATCTGTGGCACCTTCGTCACGGGCGCATGGCTTTTGTCGGAAAATGGGATGCTCAACAAAAATCATGCATGAGGAAGTGATTCGCCCACTAAAAAAATGACCATTTCGGGCAAAACGCCTCATGTTCGGAAAAATCCATTCGGAACCATCAGTGGATGAAAAAATGCCCATGTTCTCTGCAACGAATTCTGAGAAAGCAGAGAAAACCCAATCGATTTCACCGGGGTCAACATCGAGTGGGCGAACTGACCACAACAAAGACCAACTGGGATGCACCCAAGTAGTGGGATCCTGTGGCAAAATTCAAATGAACCCCGTTCCGTCCAAATCTTTAAACGTCAAACACATCATCTGTAGCCATATAATGCCATATATACGACCAGGTTCAGGTCAATTCCCCCCTTATTTTTTGTCTTTATTGTTCGTTTCTGTTCAGTTAACCTTTAAAATCCCACTGAAAAACCTTCAAAACCAGTGGCCTTACAGTATCTCATATGAAATCCTGCATTGTTCAGTTAAGGTAGAAGATCCCCGCCTAGAAAAAGTACTGCTAACTCCAAAATCGCAGCATTTTTCCACTTCCACTGCTCGAAACAGGCTTGCCCCGAACACCCAAACGATACGTTTGGGTAGTAGATTGACTCGTGGGAATCACTTTGCTGAACTGGAGCAACCCAGAACCAACATGAGCCATGAAAAATGTCCCTATCCCATCCATTATTTCATAAAAGTTGGTCAACAGCCAGGTGTACTATGCCTATATATGCCATTAAAAAAAGCTTGGTGAACATTCCTACAAAACACAACCGGTTTTTGTGAAATGGCAGTGTGTCAAAACCTTGTACCCCTGTAGTTCACATCAAAATAGCTGGTAAATGGATGTTCATCCCACTAAAAATGGTATTAATAGGTATGGATCCATACCCAAATGTTGTGATTCTCCCAGCCCCCAAATCAGCCAGTGTCAACCCTTGTGCCGCCGAGAAACCTGGAAATACTGGGCCGAAGGATCTGATAGCCTGAGACCAGGGGGCCCCTTCGGCCCAGCAGCCAACGATGGGCGAAATTTGCCAACATTCACGAAGATGCGTGTATAAATCTTACCCATAGGATCCATGTATGCTATATATGGTAACATTGGGGGTATATTGATGGTAAATGTTACCATATATACCATACATGGATCCTATGGGTTATAACATCTTATAACATCTTGTAACATCTTGTAACATAGAACATAAAAAAATGGGCCACATTCATACAAAACATAGATTTTCTATGAATCCGTGTGTATAAATAAGCTTATGAATTTTATGAACATTAAAAAGCACTTATCGATGGAATATCAATACATGTCAACAACCCATTCACTGGGGCGGGACTTAAATATGGGATTGGAAATTCAGTTTTGACATGTTCTATAGAACTGGGAGCAGGAAATTGTCTAAGTGAAGATTGAATAGGCATGAATGGTGACTTTACCCGAATGTATCAGCGCTTTTGCATATATAAATGAAATCCAACACGCCCCTCACTTTCCAGGCTTTTACCATATGTTGCCCCTTGTGTGAGAATCTGCTTAGAGACAATCTTGCACTTGGCTTCAAGGGCTGTTCAGGCGATTGTGGAATTTCTTGGTCGCCCAAGGCGATATCTTGCCATGATTTCTGGTGGATGGTTTACCATTTTTCGACATCCAGATTTTTCGGAACTAATATCTTAAGCAAAAAAAAACGTAGATTCATGGATCACTTACCCTTTGGTAATTTAACATAGCTATGGAAAATCACCATGATTAATGGGAAAATCCACTATAAATGGTCATTTTCAATAGCTATGTTAAATTACCAGAGGGTAAAATGTCAGGTTGTCCACCCAGCTTCATCAGCTTCCCGCCCCAAATCCCAAGAAAGACCAGCAACACGGACGTGGGCAAGGTGTGGTACATGGACTTGCTGTCGCTTTGCTCCACTTCCTTGCACATCGCCTTGTGACAGGGACCTAAATACCACGTGGAAAGGTCCTAAAATGTCCCCCAAATATATGTGGTTTCCTGCATCCACCACGGTTTCTGGGGGATGCTTAACAACAATTCCAGAATTCTTCATGCTCAAACCATCATTCTCAGTATCACCACCAAAAAAACATAGTGATTGTCCCACTATTTCTCCACATAAGAATTTCACCGTTTCTATTGTAAAAGTCACCATTTCTTCAATGGCCATTTCAGGAACCGATTTATTGGAGGTACCTACCATATATAAGGCCTATTTTTCAGGCCTAAATTTCAGGGAATATCCCCACAAAATATGGCCTGAAAAATGGTACTAACGTACCTCCATTTTAGGATCCTGAAATTTCCATTGACCCAGAGAAATCCAGCCATCGGCGCCTCCGAGAAGACCCCAGAGTAACCGGAGGCCAAGCCGATGCCTTGCGGTCGCCACACGAAAGGCTCGCTGTAGCTCCGCGCCAAGCTGTCCAAGGTGTCCTGGGCGAGGCCTGTGATTTTTTTAAGACACCAATGAGGTATCCTCCATTGGAAAAAAGGGTGCTAAGATGTACTAAGGTAGCAAAATTTCCAAAATGATAGGTACGGTATATATATATATATTTAATATATGTGAAGATGGAGATGACTTAGCAACTTCCAAGGGCCAACTTGGGGCCAATTTTTTTCTTTTTCGCCCAGGCACCAAGTCTTCAGCACCTGGATGAGGATTCGTCAGGGTGTTTTTGGTTTCGATGGGCCTCTGGGATTCCAAAAAGGAGTCACCATCAATCGACAAGCGTACATGAGAGACATGAGAGACATGAGAGATGGAGATGTACATGATGGACCAGGGCAACCAAGGAAGAAACTTAAGATAATGATTCTTAAGCATTCTTAAGCAATATTAATCATGGTCTGATTCCGACAACAAGGAGGAGGGAGAGTAGAGGGATGATGCCGGTGATGTTATTTCTGATGTTGGGATATTGATGAAGACCATGGCACAAGACCTGCAAACATGAAAAATCAATACGTAACAATCAGATAGTATCCCATATTGAGGTCTCCTAAAATGGTGGTACCCCTGTTCATCATCCATGTTTGTCGATATGATTTTCCATAAACCATCCAGCGAGCTTAGGGTACCTCCATTGTAGGAAACCTCCACATTATCCCATCCCATTCAATCTGGGTAAATTATAGTATTTCACTAACCTGAAATAAGGCTATTATTGCACGTTGCCACAATGCCACCCCCCAGCGGTGCGAAGGGGCAGCAGCTGTTTCGCAATCGACTCCCGTATTGGGAGTTGTCCCAAGTGAAACAAAATTGCCATACTTCATCGCTTTCATTGCCTTCGTGGCTTTCATTGCTTTCATTGCCTTCGTGGCCTTCATCGCTTTCATTGCTTTGTTGTCTTTGCTAAGTCATCTCAAGATTTGATCTTTTTTGTCTGACCCTCACCATAGCTGCACGTGAAGATTTGATTCTTTCATCCATGTTACCCTTTTCCATGTCAGCTACCCACATTTCACAGTCCATTGCAAGTTCAAGATCGGGCAGCTTTTCCAAGCCTGAACGTTGTGCAAGATACCTGTGTAAAATGGCAAAGATTTCCGACTGCTGTCCAAAACACGGTCGACATGATAATCCAGTTGTCCACGAAGCATACCCCTGAATGTAAAGTGACCTGCATTTACCAGACTTGCAGTGATATGGGAGGAGTGGTTGGACAACAAGTCCACGCAATTGGCTCATAATATTGTATGTATTCGTTGCCAACTCCGAAAGAGTTGGCTGGAGGTCTTCAAGATCCTGCAGGGATGTAGGTTGGAAAATCATCTGTTGATGTCCTTTTTGTCTTTTTACCGGCAAGCATTGTTGTTGCTGTAACATCAGGCACAATGCAATTTCAACCCAGGTAATCCCTGGGTCTCCTTCAACAGGTTCACTAGGCCAAACGCTTGATTGGATCCACATCATGAGCGCCACCGACCACTGGAATCCCCAAACTGCATGCACCAACTCAGTGTCGTCCAGTTGTGTTGGTTGTTCCCATGGCTGAGTCACTTTCCAATTGCATAACAAATCACGCACATCAACGTTGGGCATTGAAGAAACCATGTCAGAATTAGACCCACTCGATGCCGCCTGAGCCCGTGCAGTTTGCAAGTCCAAGTTCAGATTATAAAACTGTCGCGTCTTATCCTTTTGCAGCATTAAATCCGAGTGTATCTCTTCCAGTTGCTGTACTACTTCTGGCAGCAATGAGCTGCATGCTTGATTTGCTGCAGCATCTGCGTACGCATTACCCAACGCATGATATCTCAAAAGTGGATCCTGTATCAATTGCAAGTCTTGGTGTGCTTTGATTTTTTGAACAAGTTTGGTGGGTGAAATGGCAACGTAGAGTCTTTGGAGCAAATCGAAATCATCATGTTGCATCAGGTCAACAAGACAAGCAGCGTGTCTACATTTCTGAACAAGTTTAATTGCCGTAGCGCTGTCTGTGTAGACCAAGACATGTTCAAAGCTTTCGAATGCCAAGATAATTGCGGATAGTTCTGCCCTGTGAATTTGTTGTCTACCCCGTGTCCTACCAACTGCAATGGTCTGAAATGTCGATGGCATAGCCCTAGATGATAAAAACATAGTCGCCAGGTCCTTACGATGTACATCTGACTGGGCTAGATCAACTACCAATGAATATGCAGAGTAGCATGTGGCAGGGCTGGATGGATATGCACAACTCCCATCTGTGTAGCAACAAACTTGTTCAGGTCGACATCGTTCAATCAATTGCATGGTATCAGCAGAAAGTGTTGGTATCGGCATTTTTCCCAGTAACGCATCATGGAATTCATAGTGCGGATGCATGAAAACAACTGGCAGTTCAGCAAACTCTGGTTCTTCCTCAGCAATGACATCCACAAAATCTTGATGGTCACATCGTGTCTGTTGAAAGGCAACGCATTCAAATGTTCTGTGCTGTTTGGTGTCTCCAGCTT